ATTTATTTGTTTGTATTTAGCAATCGAAAAATCTTATTAATTTATTTTTTTAAAAGCGTTAAGATAGTTTTACTAAGTTACGAAAAAAAATTCAAACTGAGAGTCAACATGGCCGAAAGTGTGTTGCCTAAGCGTAAAAAAAAAACCAAAAAACCTAATAACCAAAAATTGAGACTCATCAGTGATTTATTTATTGAATTCGATTGAGTTCTTGGCCTAAATGCACATAATTTTCTTGGCCATAGCTTATTGTTATTAAATAGCCTAACAGCCAAAAATCGAATACCGCTAAACTTATTAATGATTTGTTCAGTTCAATTAGCTTGGCCCAAATGCGTATAATATGCTTGGCCATAAAAATATTCAAATTTTATCAGTCGTTCATCGTTATCATATATTATTTGATTAGATTATTCAACAATTTTCACATTTGCCGATAATATTTGTTTATATCTTTGGCCTTTCAATTAGTGCAAATAAAATAGTTTGATTAAGAAAGGTCATATGTTCTTATTTCTTTTAAATGCATTTAATGCAACATATAAAAGTTGATTTAAGTCATTAATTGTAATTTTATGCTGCTTAATAGGCTATATCGAGGATAGAATGGCTCAGTGGGTTGTTGTTCAATTGTGAGTGCCGATGCTGATCGCCAAGGGACTCCCTTACATATTGCCCAATGCGACAAGCCAGTGAAGCGAGTTTAACCAATAATGGTGAGGGTTCTTAAAAAAAAGACTATGAAGAGCTAAAGCGTTAAGTTAAATAAGCTGGTAAAGCTGGTGAAAGCTGATTCGTCCATACGAATGAGCCGGTTTCTTTTCAAACACCTCTTAACACCCACTTAAAACTCGTTCCCTCTACAGTCCTTCAAACCTGCTATGCTGTTTTCACATTTCAATTTTTCTATCCATCGCTTTATATTCTTCAATTTCCTTTGTAATCCAAGTTCCCATTAAGTTATTGTTTGCAGTCTTACAATTTGCTGTTGCTATTACCGTAAAAGTGTACATTTAGGACGTTTGATATATGCAGCGACTGGCTGGAAAATATTATTCACAAGAAAATTTGTGAGGGAATTTAAAATAGCTTAAGAAGATGTGAGTTATTGGCAAAAGCAACGTTTTATGAGGCGATAAATTAAGAAAAGAAATATTAAAGAGGCTGAAGAGTTTGAGTTTGAGGGATTTGAGGAGGTCCATTGAAAAATATGGTAGGTTTTAGGAGATATTAACGACCCGCGTTTCTTTCTAACTTAGTAAATTATTGTGGGCTTCTTCCTAGATTATTAATAAAGAAGATTATTTAGAAATATTTTCTCTATTTTAACATTTTATTGTAGTCGAAAAAAGTGGAAATAAAAATATTTTTAATTGCAAAATTTTCTTCTAATTGTTTTTGGAAATATTTCTCGTGGCGAATTTTCTCATAACATCGTTGATTTGAAAAAAAAATTATATTTTTATTCGTTATTTTTCCCCTGAAATTCCTCACAAATTTAACGTTTTATGCCCCAATGAACCATAAATAATTTATTTGAATACAAATTATTTTTGTACCTATTGAAGAATTTTTTTCATTGAAAAATTAATTAATTAATTTTTGTAGTTGATTTGATGTTAAGTGAAATTTTAAGTGTTTTTTGTATTTCTACAATCCTATCCTATAATTCGTATAATTTTATATTTTTAGAACTTATAAATTTGCAAATCATTTTATCAATATTATTAAATTTATCAATATATATATATATTTAAGAGTCCTTATCGTTAAATTCGCTCCACTGGCTTAGGCAATATGTCAGGGAGACCTTTGGCGATAAAAATACAGGTGAATCGCCAGCATTACCTCGTTTTTCATACAGGTTTACTCCTGCAGGGGATCGAACCTCAGCATCGGCGCTCCCAATTGAGCAACAACCCACTGAGCTGTTATTAAATTTACCAATATATTTTCGAAAGCAAAAACAATATTTTAACGATTTTTGTTGCCTTTTTAAAATAGAATTTTGATTAAAATCGAAATTTTTTATTAATTTTTTGAAAAAGATCACTAAATTACTATCTATGGTTGTATTATTTTGGGTGACATATGGGATAGAATTATTTGTCTATTAAAAATTTTATTTTTCCCAAAATCGCTTTTTTCGAGTTTTAATTGTATAAATTTGTTTAAAGATGCGCCAAACTCTTAAAGTTCCATAGTTTTAAGGAGATATTTAGTAAATTCCAAGCAGTCCGTAAGAAATGTAAATTTAAAAGATGAATTTCCTTATGAATTTTTCTCCACTCTTGATTTATTTCATATTTTCTTTACTTCCTTATGCTATCAATGTACTATCACTATTGACTATGCCATATTAATATTTTTTAAAGTTTCAGTTTTTAAAATTAATAAAGATTTAATTAATTATAGATTTAATAACGAATTAAGCAAAAAAATGACAGATGGAAAAATGATAAATGATAAATGTTAATGCTTTTCAGTATTGGTATGTAATGTGAATTTTCTTAGTTTTTCTCACCATATATTTGCCAAAAAATAAACCTTTGACAAATACAGTTTGCGAGCGAAATTTTTTTTTTTAAATTTATATTGTAATAAATTATTAATTGCGATTGCAGATTGAAATTTTTTTATATAAAATAAAATAAATATATGTTTGAACAAATATTTTAAAAAAATATATTTCATAAATTATTGGATATTGAATAAAAAAAAAATTATTGATAGGGATTAAGCATTAATTTTTCTGCCACATCATTTTTGTTTTAACTTCAATTTTTTAACTTCGAAATCCCTTTTAATAGATTGCAAACCATTTTTGATTTGGATAGTTCCACAAAGTCGTTTATGAATTAATGCTATTTGGATTTTATTTTTAATCACTTCCAGCTATTTGGATTTTATTTTTAATCACTGATTGGTTCTGTTATCAGCAAAAATTAAAATAAATAATATATGATATGATTCGATTTTTTAGATTTTTGCGATTTGCAAAAATTAGGAAAATTTTTTTCTTTTTTTTAATGAGAAAAAATTCCCAAATGCAAAGTACATAATTTTCCCAAATGTGTAAAATTTTGTTATGTCTATAAAATTGCAAAAAAAAGTAAATAAATAATTTCTAAATCGAAATATCGATTATGATTTAGAACAGCTGTTAAATATTGTGATTGTGCTTTGTGCATTCGATTTCATTAAAAATTTTATTTTATTAATTAATTAGACAAATTTTATAAAGCAGTTGTTTTACAAATTTTATAAAGAATTCGACGAGAAAATTTAAGAAATTCGAGCAAAAAAAACAAAAAACTATTCAATTTTTAAAAAGTTAAAGCGAATTTATTATATAAGAAAATTTAATTAATATATCTCGTTATCGGAAAAACGGAAACTGAAATTTTTTAATCGTAATGCTATCGTTAGCCACGATTGTACTGCTAACCATTCGTATACCATTCGAGTCTCAAAATTTTCATTATTTTCACCATATCGTATTTTTGCCCCCAGGCAAAATTTTTTTGTTTTGTCATAACAAACAGTTAATAGTACTTAATGGCGATGTACCAATACATTAAAAAACCATTCGTATTATGTACCATAAATTATAAAAAACAAGTCTGAATTTGATGAATTGCATTGTCCTTCTGTATTGCTATTATAATTTTTGACTTTTTTTTCGCTAGAAATGTTACAAATTCTAGAAAAATTAAAATTTGATAGAACTTCTGCCAAAAAACAAAAAAAAGAATGAATGATATCCGAAGCTAAATGATAATCATTAGGTGTCATTAATCATTAATCTTAAGAAGAAAACTTATTTCATCGCATATCAGCTATTACGATTTGATTAGGAACTTCGGTAATAAAATTTTGGATCGAAAATCTGATTGGAAAACTGATTCAAAATTATTTAGAATATCAAATAGGAAAATTATCCTTTTTTTGTCGCCTATTCTGGACGTACAATTTTTTTAAACTTTTTATTTTCAGGATTTTCACTTTCTTTTCCGAAATATTTTGTATGAATGAACTTGTTTAATTATCTGTTCAATGATCTTAATGTTTTATTTCATGTTCAGTTTGTCAAAATTTATATAATGGACGATAAATGATAAAAGATATGATAAAAGTGCGTTTTTGATTGATAAGAACTACAAAATTATTTAAATTATTTATTATTTTATCATCATCAAATTAATGTAGATCATTATTTTCTAAAAATAAAACAATAGCATTAATTTCTATAAAAATTTTTCTTCAGCAGTCGAGGCTGTCTGCCTAGCTTTTTGCGTTTCAAAAAAGGCTTTGGCTTATTCATCATAAATTTGTATTTGTATCTGAATCAAGTAAAATAAATGCTTAGCTCTTATCATTTTTTTTATTTGGCTCACTCCACTTAACATTGCCGAGAAATTAAAATAATTTTTGCTATTTATTTATTTGCCAACTAATAAAAAGTACAACAAAGCGACCAGCAACTAACAACAATTTAGTGATATCAATTAAATCAAAAGTGTTACGCGTGCTATTTAAATTTAAATTATTGAATTAATAAATTAGAAATTTAATAATTTATTTTTTATGCCTTTTAAAATTGTAAATCGTAAATTTTTTTTTATTACTTATAAAAATATTTAATAGAACTATTAAAAAAAATTTTTCATAAATATGTTTATATGTGTGTGTACCTCGTCGTTCACAAATTATTTTACACATTTTTCTCGTTTTTGCAGTTCTCTTTTCGTCGCATTCGTTCGTTCTTCGTTCTTGAAATAAAAATTTCTCTCCATTATTTTCTCCTCAATTCATTCATCCTTGTAGAATTTTATTCAAATCATTAATTTAGCCTTTTAATTTCATTTAATTAAATACCTTTCTAGAAAAAAAAGAAAAAAAATAAAATTATTTTGCTTTTTTTTCATTACCATTTCTCGGAATTCACTCATCGAATGTTTATAAACGAACAATTTTCATATGAAAAAAACCGAGAAATCATGAATTGCTTGGCTTCGGTCGAAGTACCGCATGTACTGGGAGAATTTTGTACTGGTGAATTTTCAGTTTCGCTCGGGTTTCACTCGGATTTAATGATAATTTCACTGTTGTCAAAGGATAAAAATAACCGATTTTTTATCAATATATTAGAACATTAAAATTGTCGATTAACTAGAATTATTTTTATCATTTTTCTATCATTATGTATTCAAGAAATAGTTTTTCATGAGGAATTTTTCCCCAATTTTTGTTATTTTAAGAAATCTAAATTTTAAAATTTTCCCTTAAAAACGATTGCGTTTAAATAAAAATATTAGTCATGAAGATTTTAAAAGAGTTTAACTTTATCATTATTCATTAATCATTACAGCCATCTAATCACTATTATCACATCGCATCCATTAGTTTTATTTATTTCTTTACACAATACAGCCACAAAAACTAGATTATTTATCTGTTCTTATTGTTGATCAACCAATTTCACTTCTTTTTTTTTAAGTCGAGTCAGTTGAAATTAAAAATTCAATTTTTTATATCTTTTTTTTGTACAATTATTTAAAGTATTTAGATTAATTGATAATTACCAATTATTTGAAAAGCCTAAATCATTTGCAATTAATCATGGTCGCAGAATTGTGAGATTGAATAATATTCAGGCTTTTTTCATCTTTTTTATTTTTTCTGAACGTGTAAGAGGAAGGGGAAAGAGCGATATATGGATTTAGACGATGGAAAAATGAATGGCTTTTATTACTTTTAGCGATCGTATCAGACCGAGCCGAACATAGAAATATTCTTGTCTTATCTTTATAGACAGCGAAGCCAGTTCTTGTCTTATCTTTATAGCCAGCGAAGCCAGCTTAACCAATAATGATGAGAGCTATCAGAGGAAGAAGTTTTTATAGATTCTGTAGATTTTGGCTTTTCAAGGTGGAATTTTCTTTGTAAAATTTTTTATTTGTCAACTGTATAAATTTAAAAATATTAAGTTTTCATTTTCATTTTCATAGTTTGACGATATTTTATTTATTTAAAAACAGTTCATTGTTCATTTTTGAGGACAAAATTTTCTTTTATTACAAATCATAGTTTAAATTTCTATTTAAAAAAAAATTTTTTTAAAATAGGTTACAAGCTTAAAAAGATAGTTCTATAATTGATCATTGGAAACAGGATGGCTTATTGGGTTGTTGGCCGATACTAAGGTTCAATTCCCCTCAGGAATAAAGCTGTCCAAAAATGCGGATGATGCGACTTATATATTTCTATCACCAAGGGAAAACTGAACATTGCAAATGCTTTAAACCTAAGGAAAAATAAAATTTATAATTTAGTTTTCACGTCTTCAAACCATAGGTGTTCGTTTTCGAGTATATTGATTCATTTTGTACTTCTATCGCCAAGTGGCTCTCTAGCGAAAAGGTCTCATCCTATTAATCACGAGTGTTATCATCAGGTCTGTAGAATTACTGTCAAAAGAGAAAAAGTAAATTTAATTGTTTACTAGGTGTAATTTTATATTTGCTCGGATGTTTTAAATGAACAAGACCGTTTCACCTGGCTATGGAGGCATAGATGGATCATCGGCATTTTTTTAAAGAGTTTTTACCATTACTGGTTAAACTCGCTCCGCTGGCTTGTCGCATTTGACAAATATGTCAGAGAGTCCCTTAGCGATAGAAATACTGATGAATCGCCGGATTTTTGGACAGATTTACTTCTTGTGGGAATAGAACCTTAGTATAGGCTCTCCGAATTGAGCAACAACCCACTAAAGCATCCTATCCCCGCCGGCATTACCCAGATTTTTATTCTATTATTCTTCCCAGTGATAGGAAATTTAGCATCTGCTTTCGAACTTTTATTCTTATAATATTATTATCTACGGTATCACTTCATATTTTTGTTTTATTGTATTCTTTGTATTATTGATGTCAAATATTTTATAAGAAATTTTTAAGCTGCAGGTAAAAATAAGCGGTAATTAATTAAAGTAAAAAAAGTAATTACTAATTACTAATAAAAGTAATTACTAATAAATAGTAAGCAAACAGTAATCGATAAGCAATGAAATTTATAATTAAAACTGTACATCAACTATAACTTTTCTTTTTTTATACTTTTTATTAATTTTTATATTTTTTTTATAGTTTTTATTTCTATTAATAAATCAACCGACGATGATTTTTTCTATTTTCGTAAAACTAAGCGAAATTGTGAAAATACGAATTTTTAAAAATGTTTTAGCTCGATAAACTTATCATTTTTTTTCCAAAAGGATTGTTTAATTGAGTGGAAAATTGCAGATAGTGGGAAAAAAATTTGAAATTTCATCATTGAAATTGATGAAAGGATTCGCAGAAAAATTTTAAAATTTGTTGCAGTCATCGGCAGCAAAAAAAATAGGAACTCGAGCTCTTGATAAAATAATTTACCCGGAGGCGATTTGCCGCCGCATTCATCCATTCTTTATTTTCTTCATCAAAATGATCAATCAATACAGGTTACTTACCATTCTCACTAATAAAAGATAAATTTTACTATTATATAATTATTTTTATAATTATAATGATATATTATCATAAAAATTTATGAAATCATTTGATAATTAAGGTTTTTTGATATCAAATTTTGGAAATATTATTTAAGGTCTTTTGGCTTCGTATCATTCTGGTTATTTCAATAGTAACCTTTTTAATATAGTAAAATTAGCCTATTAATTCTTAGATAATTCATCGGAATTTATCAGTTTATTCCAAAAAGAATTCCATATTTTTATTTAATTCATTATTCCTCCAGCGTTATTTTTATTTTTATTTATAAATTATGTATTTACTTTCAATGCTTATATATTTATCAATGAAATTAAAATATTTAGAACGGAAAGAATGTAATTATTAGTTCCTTTGCTACCTTTAATCAAAACTATCAAATAATCAACTATTATTCTAGACAAATTGTTTGCTTTTATTTGATTAGATATTAAAAAAAAGATAAGAAAGTTTGAAAGATCTTATGAATTCCTATTATTAGTTATCACCTTATTTATATATCTTAAGATTATATAATATGTATATAATTCATATATGATATTTATTCAATTACAGGTGTCGAGTTCAACCATGCAGGACAAGTCTTCAGTTACGATCTCTATTATTAGTTTTTATACAATTTTACTGCTTTTTAAATCTAATATTAGCACAACCAGCTCAACAAACACCTTCAATTGATCCTCATCACCATATTCCTGGTAATTCCTTTTTTCCTTTTTTAATATTCCTTTCCTAATATTATTGTATTATTATTCCTTTTTTAATAGTTTATCCATTAGGTATTTTCATTTTTCTATTTTAGCTTCTATTTCTGCATGGATATTAAAATTTCATCGAAATTTTCGATTTTAAAAATCGAACTTTAAATCATTAAATCATTTTTTTTGCTCTTTCACTTAAATTCTAAAGGGGCTGCGAAAGGGATTTTAGTAGACTAAATTCTATAAATAGTTAAGGTGGTGTGGTATTTTTCCGTTTATATAGGTCCAAAAATGACCAAAAGTAAAAGCTAGTGATCATTGCTAGGAATTTCATTCCAAAATGATTTTTGTGACTGATGATAAACATAATAAGGTTGCAAGTTCTTTGAGCTAAGTTTTTTAAAGCTTAGTTTTACTCAGAATTAATATTTTGACCATTTTGAAATTGATCTGGTATATTAGTCTGGAGCGGTCGCTTGTGGTACTAAAATTTAGAACGGTAGAATTCAAAATTCAAAAATTCAATTTGAATAAGAGACTGACTTATTTATTGGGAGAGTTTTATTTTAAGGAAGTAGTCCTTGTTATGATGATATGAATCTGCCACAGCGATGTGTTCCTGATTTTATTAATGCTGCTTTCAATTTACAAGTAGAAGTAACTAATACATGTGGAGTAATTCGTCCAACAAGGTTTCATAATTCATTTTTCATTTGTTTCTTAATAAATCTCGATTGAATTTAATAGAATTTCAATCCTAGCGCTAATGAACTCGACAAATATCATGAGGAAATATCATGCAAATATAGAAAATCCTAAAGGATGATGATAATTCTTCATTTTTCATTGCAGGATTATGGACTAAAATAAAATTTTATTAAAAAGAATGAATTTTAGGATTTTCCTCTTTTTTTTTTAGATTTTGTGTTCAGTCGGGTCATAGTGGTGTTCGAAAAGTTTGCGATATTTGCGATAGTAGAGATGAGGTATTATGAATTGTAATATTTGTTTAGGAACATTTTTCTTTTATTTGCACTCTCTTAATCACCGTGCAGTTTTTTTTCGGTCCTTTAGCTCTAAGGCGATTATTTTAAAAGTACAAAATAAAATACTAATTGAGAAAAATATTAAAAATAGAAAAAGAAAAAATGATATACGTAAGGGTAAAGCGGAAGACTCGCGGAACGCCAAAATAAGCATAATGGTTGTTTCATTTGGGAAATGGCATGGGGGTTTGATTTTTCTCTTTGATCGAAAAATGCTCTCAAAGGTGAAATAGATAATGGCAATCTCCATTTTAAATATTTAATAGAACCAGCTAAATCAGAAAAAGTTCCGAAAAAAACCGAATAGTTCGAAATTGACTCATTTGTTTGCCTTCATTGGATTTCCTAATCTATACAAACTGCTATTTTTTATATATATTTCCAGTTCTATATTCATATTTCGAGCAATTTCAGTCAATTGCGCATCCTCCATCATATTTAACAGATTTTAATAACGCAAATAATGAAACATGGTGGCAGTCAGAGACTATGAATGAGGGAATGCAATATCCAAATTCAGTTAATTTAACTCTCAGACTTGGAAAAACCTTCGATATCACATATGTTCGGCTAAAATTTATCAGTCCACGGCCAGAAAGTTTTGCTATATATAAGAAAACACATCCGGAAGACGATTGGATTCCTTGGCAATACTACAGGTTAATGCCTTCATCTGTGTTGCAATAAATTTTACAAAATTTTATTTTGTTTTTTCCGTAATTTCAATTTCCGTTATTTCCGTCTTTTTTCTTAAACTCATCAATTTCTTCCATATCTCCATTTTTAAAGTGATAATTGCTTGATAATTGAGTTGAAAAAAATTTGAAAAAGCTTTTATGTGTAAAAATATACTGGTATATATATAAAAAGGCATATTGGTATTATTAATCACCTACAATCACTATTTTTCATTCGAGTATGCGAATAAATTTAAAGATGGTACTTTATTTCCAGAGTAAAAATTCTCAATTTTTTCAAGTTTTTTCTATTTTTTATAAAAAATTTTTTCTTCTCTATTTTTTTGAAGCATTTTTGAAGAATTTTTCTCCGAGCTGGCTCTCGTTAACTTCTGTTTGCAGTGGTTCATGCCGATCTACTTATGGTATGCCTGAAAGAGCTCCAATACTTCCAGGAAATGAAGCAGTTGCTCAATGCACTCGTGAATTTTCCGATATTTCTCCATTAACTGGTGGAAATATTGCTTTTTCTACTTTAGAAGGAAGACCAAGTAGCCAGAATTTCGAAGAAAGTGAAGTTCTTCAAGTAAATGAAATTTGCTATGATTTCTATTAAATTAAATTTAGACGTTTACATCCTTTTATTTTAAAATTCTTTTGGCAATTTTTCTTCTTCTGATCCTTTGAACTTAGGATTCTAAATCCTTAATCGCATAAGGTGTAGCTTATTTTATGAAGTCTTTAATTTTATGCACAGAACTTGTTCAACCGACTTATTCATCTGCAATTCGCGTTTGTAAAAAAAAAAACTGGTGATAATCACTGATAAAAAAATGAAAGTACTGAGGATTTAAATTTATAGGAATGGGTAACTGCATCTGAGATCAGAGTTGTTTTAAATCGAATGAATACTTTCGGTGATGAAGTTTTTCGCGATCCAAAAGTGCTACGATCTTATTATTATGCAATCTCAGATTTTGCGGTTGGTGGTCGGTACGCGCATTTTTTATTTCTAATTTTGTTATTTATGTTTTTAATATGAAGAAGATTAGAATGTAATTTTATTTTCAAGATATGGTATGATTTGATAATTTTTCGATCCTAGTTTATCATTTCTGAATTAAAAAATGATATTCAATTAGTGATTTCAATTTTACAGTTGTAAATGTAATGGACATGCAAATGAATGTGTTAAGTCAACAGGAGGTGGTGAAGAACGATTGGTTTGCCGCTGTGAACATAATACCATGGGAGCTGATTGTGATCAATGCTTACCATTTTTCAATGATCGACCTTGGCAAGCCGCTACAGCAATTGAAGCGAATGAATGTCTTGGTGATGATTTTATTTTTTTCTTAAATTTTGCAAGCACAATGTGATAATTTTACAAAATGATAATTTTTATAATTGAAATAAATGGTTGATAGAATTTCTGATGCTTATTTTTTGCCAAAAATTATCCAAAATTTGCCTTTTTTATCAGTATTTTTTTAGCCTGTAACTGTAGCCATTTGTCTAATCGCTGTTACTACGATCAAGCATTATTCGAGAAAACTGGTAGTGGTGGACATTGCATCGATTGTGCTGGTAACACTCAGGTTATTATTGCCACTATGGGAAAGAAAAGCTTTTAGAAGCTGGAAATTCGCAAGAATAATATGTTTAGAGTGTTCTATGCGTTTTCCACTTAGGCGGTACCCTATGGTGCCATATCAACATGTTTGTTCTTATCTACTGAGGAAGAATGGTTCTCTCTTTGGAAGGGAACGTTAATCATAGTTGGAACAGAGAAATTGATAAAATGAATTTGTCTTATTTCGGGAAAAATTAGATTTGTTTCTATAGGGACCTCATTGTGAGGAATGTGCTCCGAATAATTGGAGAAGACCTGGCGATCATTATTGTGTTCCGTGCCAGTGCAATGAAATTGGTTCAATGACTATGCAGTGTGATGATACCGGTCAGTGTCCATGTAAACCAGGTGTTGATGGTCAGTTCTGTGATCGGTGTAAAAACGGCTTTTATGAATTTAAAACTACTGGTTGCAAGTGAGTCTATAAGTTTTCGATTCAATATTTCCATTGTTTCTTATTTATTCATTTGAATGTTGTAATTAAGGAATAAAATAATCATTAAGAAATAAAATAAAATAAAAAAATCCTTAGAGACTTTTTGTCTTTTCAGGAATTGTCAATGTGTTAAAGCAGGGTCTTTGAACAATGAACCGAAATGTAATTCACAGACTGGTGATTGTGTATGTAAATTGAATGTAGAAGGACGTCAGTGTGATAAGTGTAAACCTGGCTATTTTGATTTATCATTGGATAATCAGTTTGGTTGTACGCCATGTTTCTGTTACGGGCATTCATCGATATGCACAAGTGCAGAGGGATATTACGCTATGAATATAACAAGTTCTTTTAACGAAGGTGTTTTTTTCGTCTCTTTTTATTGGTTTCACTTTTGAAGAAAATATTTATGCTGCTAAATTAGCATATTATACATTTGTAGTTCCAGCAAAAAGGATTGCTTCAAAATGCAAAATTGCAGTGCACCATAAAAATTGAACCTTTGATATCTACCAAGATCTTTCGTTATAATTCATTAACGATCTCAAATCTCGTTATTTTTCTGCTTCACGAAAGCGTTTTAAGACGAAGTCTTAATAGCCCCAGAACATAGCTTTAGGTGTTGCAGTCTCGGGGGATGATATAACAGTATTGGAAGTATTGAGGGGAGTATAAATGGAATAGTGGATATTTACTGTTGAACTCATATCATTCAGACGAAACATTTTTTTTAACGTAATTGAATATTTTATTTTTTTTAGGTAAGAATAAATGGTTGGGGAGCAGTTTGAAAGGACCTTTGGATACACAATGGGCCGAAATGGATAAAGCGATTGCAATTTCTGATGTTAGCGGAACACCGGCTTACTTTTTAGCACCACAGCCTTTTCTAGGAGATCAACGAGCCGCTTATAATCAAGATCTTTCCTTCACATTCCATGTTCAACAGGATCAGGTTCAACCAAGTGCAAGGTCTGCTTATTTTTTCCCCTTAATATTTTGATTTTCTCATTTTTAAATCAAAATATATTTAAGAACCGATTTTAGAGATATTGTCATCGTCGGCGAAGAAGGACAAGAGTTAACCATTCCTATTTTTGCTCAAAATAACCCAATGCCAAGCACTACTGATAGGACATATCGTTATCGAATCCATGCAAATCCTATTTTCCAGTGGAGTCCAAAATTAAATGAACTTGATTTTATCGGAGTTCTTTCTAATGTAACGGCGTTAAAAATTCGTGGAACTTATTCCTCCGGCGGTGAAATATTATTAATATTTTGTTTTTGAAAAACTAATGATTGAAAATCATTTTAAATGATGCCTATTTATCTTAATTATAAATAAGTCTATTGCACAAATTAAAATATTCTAGATGTGGGATTTCTTTCCGATGTGCAGCTTGGTAGTGCTGGTCTTGCACCGACTGGTGATGAACCTAAAGAAGCCAACTGGATAGAATCATGCACTTGTTTGGAAGGATTTGTTGGCCAGTTCTGTGAATCTTGTGCTCCAGGCTATAGACGTGAAATGAAATATGGTGGTCCGTTTAATCGTTGCGTTAAATGTGATTGTCATGGTCATTCGGATTCTTGTGACGCTGAATCAGGTGGATTTTTAATTTGTAGGAAAAATTTCTTGTTGGCCATTGTTAATTACGATTTGTGTACGTGAATTGTAGGTGCTTGTATCTGTGAGGATAACACCGCTGGTGACACCTGTGAGCGATGTGCACGTGGTTATTATGGAAATGCACTTCAGGGTACTGATAAAGACTGTTCTAGTTGTCCATGTCCGGAAAATGGTCCATGTGTTTTGCATTCTGATGGCGATGTTATATGTACGGATTGTCCGATTGGCTACACTGGCCGGCGGTTTGTATTTCAATAACTTATGAAAGCTGAAAAATTAACTTGAAGAAAAACGAATTATAAATATCTCTGAAAATATCTCTGAAAAAATAAAATATAAAATTTTTAAAAGATTAGTGATAGTTTTGGCAGAAAAAAAAGGGCCATCATTCTCTAAAGCTTTTCTTCAGGTGCGATATTTGTGCTGATGGATTTTTCGGTGATCCTGGTGCTGGAACTTCATGTGAAGAATGTACATGTAGCGGTAATATTGATCCTAATAGCATTGGCAATTGTGATTCAATCACAGGTGAATGCAAAAAATGCGTATTTAATACTATTGGCTTCAACTGCGAGAAGTGCAAACCAGGTTTTTGGGGCGATGCATTACTTGAGCCAAAAGGTGACTGCAAGGCTTGCCGGTTTGTTTTTATTTTCATTTTTTCTTCATATAATTTATAAAAACTTAAATATAATTTTAAATATAATTTTTGACAAATTTCATTAAATATGAGTAGATACGTTCAAAGATGGTTCAGCCTTATGTGGACTTTTGCAGTTGTTTTGTACCGGGTACGCGGCGTCCAAATGTTGATTATAATCTGCTAGAATGTCGTCAAAGTGATGGCCAGTGCGATTGTCAGCCACATGTTATAGGATTACGCTGTGACCAATGCGAGGTATCAATTTAACCATAATTTTTCTCACGCCATATATTATATTATTGTAGACGGAACTCTCTTATAGCCTGGTTATTTCAATTTGTCTTCTGGTGCCGGATGTCAGGAATGTAATTGCGATCCTTTGGGTAGCATTAATAGTACTTGTGATATTTCTACTGGCAAATGTCTTTGTAAAACTGGAGTTACTGGACAAAGGTTTTCTTTCTTTTATCATCATAATTTTTTCGAATCAAAATCTTTTGAATCATTTCATTAAGCTGGAATTATTCTAGTCTAGCTGGAATTATTATCCTAGTTATTGTCCTATAGATTAACAAAATTTTACGCTTTTCTATAGATGTGATCAGTGTGCGGTGCAACATTATGGTTTTGATTCGGAAGGCTGTAAACCATGCGATTGCGAACCTGTTGGCTCAGAATCACCGCAGTGTGATGTAAAATCAGGTTTATTTACTATCCTATTTCTTATTAGCATGTATCATTTTCCAAATTTCGTTGCTATACTGCTCTGAGTTCTATATAAAACCCTTTTACCATAGAGTTGTTAAACTTATAGATTAGTCTTCAGCACCACCTTTGATTTAGCATTCATTGATAAATTGACTCATAAATTGACTTAAATTGCTGTCAAATAATCCTTTTTTTCATAGTTTATTATATATATTTTTATTTATTTTTTTCATTTTTTTTCGTAGTTTTCGTCCATCATAGTTAATATTTTATTTTCTATAATTTTCTTTAATTTTATTTCAATCTAATTTTCTTTCTTTGACAATAAAATTGATTATCCACTAATTTATTCCGCTAATTAATTTATTAATTTATTATTATTTTTCGAAAATTAATTAATGAATTTTTGAATTTGAATTATTGAAATTATCAAAAAATTTTAAGGACAATGTCTTTGTCGTGACCATATCGAAGGACGTCGTTGCGATAAATGTATTGAAAATCGCTATAATTTACAAGCTGGTTGCTTACCTTGCGATGAATGTTATACGTTAATTCAACATCGTATTAATAATTTCCGAATTAACGTTTCTACTTTACAGGAAACTCTTCAAGAAATTATAGAAAATCCAACACCAGTAATTTTATTAAAAATATTTCTTTATTAATTCTAATTTTTTAATTTTTAACAAAAAACAAAAAATTAAATAGAAGAAAAAAAATTTATAGGTGAATGATATGGAATTTAATGAAAAAGTGATTAAAATTGGCAAAGAAGTTGAAAGTTTAGCAGAACTTATAAATAAAAAACTTGGTAATTTTCTTTTAAAACCTTTTCGTATATTTTTAAAATCATTTTAAAAAATTACTTCTGATAAATTCCCTATATAATGGTTTTTGACATATTTGTATCATAAATAATTGTAATTTTTATTGTAACTGAAAGGAATTTTCAGCGGGCGATGATTCCCAGCTCGTTAATGAAATTAACAAATTGAAGAACGATTTGAAGGAATCATTAAAATTAATTGATTCAGTTGATGATACCATAGCAAATGCGAATCAGCAAGCCGATGCAACCTATGAAGTTCTTCTTCGTTGGAACCTTATCCGAGGTTTTCCGGCATTCTTCTCTTTGCCTCTTCTTCACTTCTTGGCTATATTCTTTATTAATTTACAATTCAGATCGTGCTCGTAGTGACTTAGAAAATGGTTTACATTATCTCGAAACCGAGGGAGTTACACAATGGGAACTCGCCCAAGAAACATCTAAAAGATATGGCGAGCAAAGTCAACAAGTATATCATTTGAAAATTGTAGAAATTTTTTTCTCTTGATAGCTAAATGATAAAATTTTCATGATTAGAATATTTTTTAGTTGTCAGAAATCGCACAAGAAGCGCGAAAACTTGCTGATAAGCATGAAAATAAAAGTCGTGAAATTCAAAATTTAGCTGATAAGACGAGTAATATCTCAAAACTTGCACTAATAGAAGCAAAAGAAGCAATATTTGGCGGTTTGCTTTCTAAAAATAATAATTTAATAATGATAATTTGATAATTTACTGATTTTTTTCATTTATGAAAGTTATTTAGCATTTTATTTAATTTTTATTTTAGGTGAAGCAACGAGTAAACAAATAGCTGAAATGCAAGCAAAATTAAACGAAACTGGAGAAATTTTAAATCAAACAAAAAAGCTTGCTGAAGATGAATTACGTGAAGCCGATAAGGCGTATAAAGCAGCAGCAGAAAGTCTAACGAATGTTGAAGGTCTCAAGTTACCTCATATCGATACACAACAGGTAATTTTTTCCCGATTCTTACCTTAAATTGACCCATCATAGGTGCTTTTTTTTATAGACGAAAGTAATCCTAATTTCTTCTTTTTTCACTAGAATAATTATAATATTTTACTTTTAAAAAAATTGGAATTAAAATTGGAATAAAAAAATTAAATTAAAAATTAAAATTAATTAAAAATTAAAAAATTTAAAATTTAAAATAATAAAAATTAAAAAATTAAAAAAATTTTCAATTAAGTTAAAAATTAAATTGAAAATTAAAATTAATTAAAAATTAAAAAAATTAAAAAATAAAAATTAAAAAAATTAAAATTAAAAAAATTAAGATTAAATTGAAAATTAAAAAATAAAATTAAAAAAATTAGAAATTAAAAAATATAAAATTAAAATTAAATTATTTTTATAATTTTCAAAAAAAATTTTTAGCTTCAAGAAGATGCTAAACGTGTAGCAGAAGAGGCAAAATTAGCTGCTGAAAATGCTAAAGAACAAGCAGCAGCCAATAAAGAATTGCTAAATAAGGCTTCGAGAATGATTGCTGATGCCAAATATGAATTGCAACGTGTCAAGGATCAACAATCAGTAATCGTTTACATTATGCTTGAAATTGATCGGACACTTTTTTTAAATAACCGTCACCATAACTGATTAGACTCACACCGCTGGCTCATCGCATTTGCCAGGGAATCTCTTGGCGACAAAAGGGAGGTAAATACACATGAGTCGACATTATCTGGATTTTTGGATAGGTTTACTCCCACCAGGAGTAAAACATCAGCATCAACCCATCCACTGAACCATTCTATCCCCAAGATAGATTGTTACTGGAAGATTTATTCACTTACTTTAACTTTTATTTACTTGCTCTTGGAGAGGAGATTAGAGCCTTTTGCCAAATGTTTTATTTAATGAAAAAGGATCATATCGAATTGTTCCCGTTTTCGGATAAATATTCTGCGTTGTGGATTTCGGAAAAGAAAATTAGCAGTTCATAAGAGAAATTTTTTTGCAGCTGCTTTTTTTTGTTTAATGAATTTCAAAATAAAATAGAGATTTTTAAAGGTTTCTGACGAACTGCTTGCCGATGTTGATGCAGCAAGAGATCGAGCTTTAAAAGCTGTTGAATTAGCTGAAAATACTCTTAAAGAAGCGAATCAAACATTAAATACTTTAAATGGTCATAATTTTTGAAAAATCGAAATTAATTTTAATTTTTTATTTTTATTAATCGAAAAAAATATTAATTAAATAAATAAATAAATTATTAATAAAAATAAAAATTAATAAATATATTAAAATCTTTTTATTTAATTTTATTTGATTTTATTATTTTAATTTTTATTTTTAATATTATAATATATAATATATATATTCCAACTATTCGATAATATTTACAGAAACAATTTTTTTCCAGATTTTCAAACTTTGGTTGATAAAAGTAAAGCTGTTGCATTAGAAGAATTAGGTAAATTGAAAGAAATCGAAAGGCAAATCAAAGAAGCCGAAGAAATGACCAGGGAAGCAGAAAATGCAATTGGAAATGCAAAGAATGATGCTGAAGCAGCTGAAAAATTAGCCGGTGAAGCTGAAAATGAAGCAAAAATGATAAGTGAAGTAAGTGAATTTCCTATCACTTGCAGTCTATTTTTGGATTTTTTACGTTTACATTCACGTTTTCACGGTTTTTCTTTTTTTAGAAGGCACACGAACTTCGTAATCATACTGGTGAAACTCGAAATACAGCCAAACAACTCAAAGATGAAGCAAATCAATTAGTTTCTGATATTATTGAAACTGCCTCAACTTTAGATGATTATAGGCGTCAAGCAGATACGGATAAAGCACGCGCATCTGACGTAAGTATATTTTTATCTTCTACTTGTTAAAAGCAAATATGTCTTTCAAAAATCCACGTTACTTATATCTCATCAGCACTTCCATTGTTGTCTTCTATTTATTACGTTCAATGAACCACTGGTACGAGTCTAGCAAAGAATGGTAAGCGTTCTTTGAAAAATTAAGCACCATTTTTGGTTTTGATTTGCGCGGTGCTAAATTTGGCCCTTTTTAAGCCATTGCTCTAAATGAAAATTACTAGAATGCGTTAAAATTAGGGTAAATAGAAAATATAATAGAATAAATATGAGTATTTCGAGGTACATAAAAAATTAAATATTGTAGTTACCTCTTGAAAATTTGTACTGCAGTTTGATTCACCTCCACCTGATTTGGTACCAATTTTTGGTATTCAAATTTTTGTATTGTAGGCTGTAACAAAGGCTGCATTAGCGGAAAATGCTGCAAATAATGCGAATAAAACAATAACTGAATCTTACGATAAGATTCGACGAATATTAGAGCAATTAAGTATGTTTGTTATATTTTTATTTTAATATAATTTTTTTCTACGTTTTTAAAATAAATTAATCTTTATTTTAAACAAACGATATCAGTTCTAAGGATGATTAATTCCGTCTTATAAGATTTTGCATGATTTCAAATGGTTAACACCTTGAAAATTTAGCACTCAATGAATGTCACCTAATTTTGGCTTTGGTAATAGAATTGAGAAATTCCCAAAAAAAATTTGGCCAAAATTTTTAAATTTAAGATTGTGGATTTTTTATTAAAATTTATTAAAATTTTGCCGAACAAATTATCAATAAAATCAAATATCAATTATCAATTACAAATTATCAATTCTTTTTCAGTTAATAGTTATTTTTTTTGCAATTATGAAATGGAAAAAGAAATTTATTCATCTAGGAATTTCTATTATTTTATTCTATTAAAAATATGTATTTAATTTGATAGTTTTCTTTCTTATAGACTCGATGGATAGTGTTAATAGTGAGGAACTCGATGAATTAGAAAAACAGTTAGAAGAAGCTGAAAAAGTATTAGACAGTGCAAATCTTGATAAGCAGGTAAAAGCATTGAACCTTCAAAGCATTTTTACTTGAATTAAGAAATGTTATATATCTACTTTAAAATGTGTTTTTTCTGGAATCCAGAAATTTATCAAACCAGAAATTTCAAAAATTTTTTATATAAAATAAACTTTAAATTATTTTGATGCATAGTAAGATTCTCGGCTTTACTTTTTCTAGTTGTCTTCTATAGTAGAATAATTTGGGTGGGTTGTTGAGAGGAATGAGGACCCACTAGAATAAATGTTTCAGTGATGTGCCAGGAATTATGGAGCTCCACTTCTCGATTCCTATCGTTAAGTGACTTTCTCGACGAAAATTTCTAATTTGATTAATAAATAGTGTGATTAACCTAACAGGTTTGGTGAGCGCTAACCATTTATCAACTATCGATTATAATTAATAGCGAAGTGATTTTTTAATAATTTTATGGTTTTTTAGGTATCGATGCTTAAAGAACAAAAAGTCGAGCAAGATCGTACTATAACTCAATTTAAAATCGACATTGATGCTTTACAAGTTGAGGTACGAAATTTGGAAGAGATTCGAGAAGCTTTGCCCAATAAATGTTTCAATATAATCAACTTGGAACAAGAGGGTCAAAAGTAGAATTTTATCAATCTCTGGTTTTAAATTTCCAAAAATTCTCAAATTTACTGAAATTATCCAAGGCAATGTAATAACTATATAAATTTTCTATCGGGATGATAATGGTTATAATTAGGTGATTAAATGATAACAATAATATCACTTTTAAAATTTTAAAATTGAAATTTGGAATTTTCCAAGAATTCGTTTTTTCTTTAAAAATTTGAAAGAAAAAAGTGAAATTATGAAATAACGATTGAAAGGTCAAAATTTTTTTGAATTTTTAATAGATTATTAATTATTCAATAAATTAATTAATAAATATAAATTTCTTTTTTATAACTGCCAGTCTTACTATTTTCTGTTTATAATTGTTATTGCTATGCATTTCAATGCTCTTGAAAATCTTCTTTCGTAAGTTCTTTCGCATTTAATTTTCATTTATAATGATAACTGATGAAGAAGACTTATTGTTTGTTGAACAGCTAATCATGAGCTAATACCTTTTCTTTGGGAAAATCTTTGGGAAATAGCTTTGGGAATCTCCAATAATCAATCACTTATTTTACAAAATTTCTATCGAATTCTCTCAGTTGTTTTTTAATTGCTTTATGGGAAAATTCCAAAAAAAATCACTGAAATCACAGTAATTAATTAACTGCCATATATTTTTTAGTCGACTGCCATCTTTTGTAAAATTTTAAAACTGCCATGACTTTGCACCATTTTCACTATTGTATCTGATATTTTCTAAAGATTTTTTAATATATTTTTCAATATAAATTTCTTCCTTTTTCTTTTAACACCACAATTATTGGTTAGATTGGTTCCGCTGGCTACAAGGACCCAAAGTAAATTCCCATTTTGAGAATTTAATATCTTTAAAATTGTTTTTATATAAAGTTAATTTATGGCTGCTCACAAGTAATATTTAGTTGTGCCGATCTGATCCGAAATTCTTATTCTTGGTGAATTTTGCTGAATTTCATTATAAAAGTTAATTTTAATTTTTTGTAAAATTTTACTCTTTGGTTGAATTTTTTTTCACATATCTTTATTATTGTTTTAAAATTGATGAATGGATTGTTATTAAACGAAAAAACTTATTAAAATTATTTTCCCATTTTCTTATTTCCTCTAATAGCTCTCACCACAATTACTGGTTAGATTGGCTTCGCTGGCTAAGAGAATCTAAAGTGAATTCCCTATTTGAGAATTCCAAGCAGTATTGAACAGTCAATTTTGAATGGTGCTTATTTTTATCGCTTTATTTTTCATGCTTCGCGCTTGATATTAGTACTTTTTGTTTTTTTAAAAATATTTTTTTGTTATTTTTTCAAAATCAATTATCTTTATTATTTGCAAAAAAAAATCATTAAAACATTTGTGATATTTTTTAGTTTGTTTTTTCCTCTTATTAATTTAATTAATTTTTGAGATAATTATTTTTTCAAGAAGGACATTTCGTTTAATCTATTACTTTGATAGTTTCATCGCCTATTAGGCGAATAGTTGATGATAGTAAGTTGATAAGACACCAGTTCCTTTTTAGTTCTAATAAATATCTACCAACAGCTTATCAATGCATTTTAGTAGATTTGATAATGGAATCTTCATAACTTTGACGTTTCTTATTGTATATATTTCTTAGATTCGTCAATTGTATTTTATAAGGATTTCGCAAAAAAATAGCTGAAATTTTTTTAATAAGATTTTCATAAATTTTTTACAAAATGAGAGAAATAAGAAAATTTTTATACAACTTCTAAATAATATGATTTTTCATCCATTGATCGATAGAAATTCGTCCTTTCATCTAAAGTATTTCCCTCTGGCAAGCATTTCATCGGCGAAGCACTTCGTGAAGCACGCCGCAAATGAGATGGATCGGGACTAGAATTTTGAATATTTAATTTTAAAAAACCATATAAATTTATAATCAAAAAAGATATTAGCCAAGAAAGAGAACATGCCTTAATTAGCATGGTTGCACCAAAATTCTAAATTAAATTTATACTTACCCTGGATATCTCGATAAGTCGATCTTATATGGGCAGTAGGCATATAGCATTGATAAGCCTTCCATCACCATAGGCTTATCGCCAAATGGACATTTGACTTTTTCCAACAATGCTTTTGCTAAAATATTTAAATTAAATTTGTTAAATTTAGATATATTTTTACTAGAGAGAGGCTTAAAGAAAGGCAAAGACAAGGCTGTAATATTAATGTAATATAAAGGACTGTAATAATGTGCAATATTAATAAATATACTTTCATGACAAGGGCCTTCATAATTAAACGCTGGCAGTTCGCGAATATTATCAATTTCATATGGAGGCATCGCACAATATGCCTAAAATACGAGTCGAGTTTACAGATCAACAAATTTGATAATTTTAAATGGATGCATCTTGGATTATCATGAATATGAGTTAAATCAGCAAAAAATTATCTTTTAATTATAGAATTGTTTTCGCCAAAAAAAATTCGGTTAATTTTTCTCTATCAATTTCAAATTTTAGAAAAATTTAAACTGTTAGCATACTTTAGTATTGCAGATCTCCTTAAGAAGTTCGGTCATTGAACCAAATGTTAAAAATTGTCCATCATAGGTGCTAAGTCTGGAGCAAACTGTGCTTTTTGGTGCAGTTTTTGCATCTAATAATTTTTGCAATTTGGTAAAATCACATTGAATTTTATCCTTATTACAATTCAAGTACCATGCTGAATTGAGAGAACATCGTGCTGAAAAAAAAAAATTGTCTTTGTCGAGAATTCAATGGTTTCGCAAATATGATTTTTCGACCAAAAAATGGTGACAAAAGAAAACGATAATATATTTGCTTAGGTGATTTGTTTTTTTGTTTCTTTTTTTACAGAATTTGGATCTACCTTATATGAAATTCATTTCTTACCTTTACACTGACAAGTTTCCCTATCAATATCAACATCAGGATTTCTTCTATCACAATAACACGAAGCACCACCATCAAAATTAGCGCATTTGACGGTGCATTTTCCCGGATCCACATCGCACATCGCTTTTGTTCGATTGCAGCAATAATGATCATCCAAACACTCATTGATATCTCAAAAATGGTTTTCTTTTTTTCAGTCAAGCAAAGTCATACAAAATTCGTATATAGGTGTTTCCAAAAAAAATTTTTTACCACGGAGGCCAATAACGTCATTTGTTTTCTTGTTTCGTAAAAAGGTATATCCTTTTACGGGTCGCCATTTTTTTCTGTCATAATCACAAGAAATCATTGAACGATGCTGGATATTTTCAACTGTCGATGGCCCAAGTACATCGGCTCGTGTGCATTCATCTTCTAAAATTTTTTTCATTGATAAAAAGGTGAATATTAAATGAATCTATAAAACATTGGATAACACTGAATTTTTATCGAAAGATAAAAACTTGACTTTTAAAAAAACTAAGAAAAACTAAGACTTTACTAAATTCATAGAACTACTAAAATAGTTACGAAGAAAAAGTTAAGATACTAACTGGTACAGAAGGGTATATCCTCTACTGAAACTCGCTGAATATAACCAGCTGATCGATCACATGCGCAACGTCGGTTTTGACGATCACATATAAAACCTTCGCCAACTGAATCACATTGAAGATCGGTACATGGATCAACCTCTAAAATATTTTTTCTTCAACGATTATGAGAAATTTATTAAATCTAAATTTATTACTAAATAGTAATTATGGAAATTTATTTTCAAAAATCATTTATTCATAAATAATAAAAATTAAAAATAAACTAGTTGAATCAAAAATATTCGTTATCATTAGCTTATCATGTTCATAGTCCATGTAAAGTATAAACAAAATCATATAAGCTGCTTATAATGAACTTGGAATGAACGGTTTAGCAATTCAGAAATGAAATATAAAAGTGAATATAATCGACCTTCGCACTTAATTATGATACGATTAGATGAACGACTATTTTGTTCGGATCGTTTTTGGTTCGGTGCACAGTCACATTCGAATCCTTTCCAACTCATTACTTTGATATTACCATTAAAAGCACCTGAAAACAGTGTACTGGTGAATAAGACTAAACACTCACTGGCTTGCTACAGATTTTCATAACAGTTCATGATTTAACAATCATTAATATTTTAAAATGAGTTGGACGAATAAGGGAAGGAAATTTAATTGAGTATCGTAGTTGATGAAGATATAGCAGAAATTTATCGATAATGGTTCCCGAAATTGCGAAACTGGTTATTGCTTCTGTTTTCCATATAAAAGATGAGAGAGTAATTTGCTTAAAATGGAACCTATAAAACGATAATATCTTAGATATGACATATGACCTATATTAAAACTAACCTCGAGGCTCATACGGAGTATTTTTGCAAAAGGGAAGTGGTGACGATGCAGACGTAAACCACCACCATTTTTTGCTCACAGCACGTTGGTAACAAATTGCATAAGCGCTCGAACTATTTTTCGGCTCTACCATTAATTCTCTCCAATTTATTTTGCCAGGCTTTTTTTCTGCTTGTTTGAATCTGAAAAATAAAATATTATTATGCATATTAATTCAGCTGATAATATCTCTACACAATAAATAAATTACTAAAATTGGCGCAATAAAAATTTCCCTCTCCGAAGAAAATATTTTACAAAAAAGCAAGATGGTTGGTTCTACGGAAACGTTAAAAATGGATAAATTTTGTAAATTATCTGAATTATATTTTTTTTTACTTCACTAGAGTTTCGAAATAAGCCGAATCCTCAGCACATTCATCCTTATCGACACATTCACCACTATCGTCTAGTATGTAACCAACCTGAAATAATCAGTTACGATTTATAAATTAACATCCAGAACAGCAACCTCTAATGCTTTTCGCAACTAACAATATCAAATTTTTATTCGATAATTTAAATTATTAATGACTTTATTGTATAATCACTTCTGTGACAAGATTCAATATATATGCGATACAGTTTCGAATAATGATAAATTTGGCTCAACTGACCCAATTTTCTAAAAAAATTCTTATCATAATAATAAGTAAATCACAATTAATGACTCATTTGAGGAAGAAAAATGACGCAAATTCTGTTTTGCAGGTTTGCAATATTATGATCCCGAAAAATCCAGAGCAACGCCTCAAAACTATTTGCTAATTTCTCCACAAAGATCTGCCCAAATCAATCCAATTCCAACTCTAGTTTAATCATGATAAAGATTACCTTACAAAATGTTCTGAAAGAACCTTCTGTATTGACACAATCTTGTGTAAGTGGATTATACTTGGCATTTCCATTAGTACATTCATCAATGTCTAAAAAAGTAAAATAAGTGATTCTGATGGAACCAAAGATAAAATTTAACTTTCATGGACCATGAAACTGGAATTATCTTGGAAATTGTTTCGCTACACAATAAGTTTGATGAAATATTCTTCAGATATTGGATAGATAATCTAATATAATTGAAAACGAAATTACCATTGCAAGAATAATAAACACCGGAGACTCCTTGAGGTGGATCATAGCCTGGCAAACATTCACAGAAATAATCAGCTTTTTTCGGTACCATTTTGCATATGGTTGTTGCGTTGTTGCACTGATTTTTAGAAGGATCTAAGCATTTGTTAATAGGACTACATTTCTTCTCTCCATCACCTAAACATTTTAATTTACACTTAAAATCTTGGATTCTAATTCGATTCGAAATCACTATGAATTTCTTTCTTTGAATAGTTTTTGTATAGAATTTCTCTGATAAATGGACTACTGATTACTGATGTTTATGCATTTTTATGGAGCTCAAAGAAGAAGAAATTATTCAGCAAATAGAATTTTATTAGCACTTTATTTTCGCAGCATATTCGTTTAGTGGGAAAAAACTTCAGAAAACTTCGCAAAATTTTGAAGAAATTAAATTTCAGCGAAATTAAGCAGAGAACCTTTCTGAACAGTGTAGAAACAAATTTTTACCTTCATAACCTTGCTTACATGTACACATATATGAACCAGGAGTGTTAATGCATTCCGCGTTTGTGTGACATGGACGATTCTCGCATTCGTTAATATCTTAACGAAACAAAAAAACTTTCAAAATGAAGAAGAAGGATGGAAGAAGAGAATATTTAGAAAATGTTGATAAGCGAAGATTTAAGGTGCTCCAAGGTTTCAATTATTCCCATCGCCCTTTAATTAATTGTATTTTTATGTTTAAAAAATCCATAATCTCTTACCAGCAAAAAGCATCAATTCCTAAAAGCTGGAACTATAAAGCTGAAGAAAATGTTCAAGCTTACCTTGACAACCATGACCATCGGCTAATAATTTAAATCCAGGTCGACAGTCGCACCTATAATCACCCGGCAAATTGTTGCAGAAATGTTCACCACAGATTGGTTCTTTATTATCCAAACATTCGTTTATATCTGATTAAAAAATATGTCTTTTTAAAATCTCATTTGGCAAAGATATTTTCCACTTATCATCATTTTATCCATTTTAAAGTAATTTTTCTTCGTCAATTCTTGCACGAAAATATACGTTTGGTTAATTTATTTAAATCACTTACCATCACAAGAATAATTATTATTCTTAGCACGCCTATATCCCGGTTTACATGAACATTCAAAAGAACCATCCGTATTACGACATGTTGACGAGCCAGTATCACATTTGTTGAGACGAGGACTTGAACATTCATCGACATCTATTGATGATAATATTTATAATGTTTACAGTCATAAATAAATAAATTAGAATATTTTACAAAAAAAAATATACAACCTCTGCACATTCCAGGACGACCTTCCCCTTCATATCCATCTTTGCATTTACATAAAAACGATCCTTGCTTATTCAAACATTTCGCTTTTGCATCACAAACGTCCGTAGTGCTTTCTTCACATTCATTTATGTCTGCAGTATATATGCTAGATTACTCAGAAAATACCTTAATTGTTGTCTTAAAGACTGTTTTTTAATGAAATAAATCTCTTAAAACTATTTCTGCTTCTCTCTAAGGAAACCCTTCCTTTTTTTAAGGAGTACAGTTATTTCTGGCCATAATTTAAAAGTACCATAATATGAATATCGCGCATCGCCTTATCATTAGCACTTAAAATATTTTAAAAGTACCATGACAAATGGTTCCATTGCCTTTATATCCAGAGTTACAAGTGCATTTGAACGATCCCGGTGGCTCATTGACACAATTCGCATATTGACTGCATGGACAATAGCTACCACAGAAATCGATCTTAAAATCATTCAGCGACAAATCATTTCTAATTAATTTTTTCTACCTGAATAGTAAAAATAAAATTCATAAGAAATATAAAACAAACTGGTTCACAACGTGCTCTTGCAGTTCCAACACCCGTATAACCTTCTTTGCACTTGCACGAATAGCCATCGCTGCTATCAATACACCTTGCATTTACATCGCATGGATTCGTGGCATCTTTGCAGGATGGAATTTCACATTTTACCTTTCCCGGACCTATAAATTCATTTCGCCCCGCTGTTGATCAATGAATCAATAAATTCTAAGGTGATATATGACTTTTGGCGAATTTCTTAGCTGCTTAAACTGCCATCTTAAGTTTGATATATAAGTCTCTGGTGAAAAGATTGGAAAAATCTAAAGGACTCATCTTGTAACTGGCGTAGCCAGTTAAATTAGACACGACGAGAGTTGTTAAAGGAAGGATTTCTTACCATAAGGAGAATCGAGAAGTATAATATAAACTAACTTTTGCTTTTATCGATAGTATCACTATCACAAACGCATTTATAGAATGGATTTAAATCGACACAAATAGCGTTTCTACCACAAATTCCTGGATTCTCTTCGCAAGTTTTAATCGCTTCACATTGACTACCAACTTTGCGATACCCCTTATTACATACGCAAGTAAACGATGCACGTCCTAAAGAATACTTTGCATTAAATCCTACAAAATCTCGGATATTAGTGGTCTTTGAATTTAGAAATATCATTTAAATTGTTTATATAACCTTTTGAATCTTTTGCTTGAGTTTCAACGCATTTTGAATTGGACGGACATTGATTATCGTTTTCGCAATCCGCTACCGGATCACAGAATTCTTTTGGATTTGTACCCTTAAAATATTTCTTGGACTTTATGCCAGGTTATATTATAAAGTATTTTGCGAAAGCAGGCCTTCCATTCTTAAACAGTAAAATTTCATTCAATGATTTTACCAAAATTATCCTTAAATTAAAGAAGAAAATTAAAATACATAGTATCCATCTTGACAAACACATTCGGGTGACAGTTTCGCCGGGTTTTCTCGACTAGGCCGCATTACGCAAAACGCATTAGCACCACATTCTTGAGGTGGCTTACAATTACTACTTGGCACACAAACACCATTCTTCTTTTCGTAACTGTAAATATTGAAAAAATTCAAATGCAAATCTTTATTTTCACGTGGATTTATTGTGGTATCGCAGTGAGGATTTCATTAATTCTATCAAATTATTCTGTAAAATTTAGCAGTTTTAGTTTATTACTTTATTAGATCACCGGTGCAAGCTCTAAATCTCAGTTCATTTTTAGCATTTTCACTGTTAACTTATCAGTTTATCATTTGTCAGTTAATTCTATCAGTCAATTCTAATTTGTCAGTTAATTCTATCAGTTTATCAGTCAATTTCTTTTATTATTCTAATAAAAGAAATAAGGAATGGAAATGTAAGATTAAAAGAAATTTTACGCTAACCCATTGCTACAATTACATTTGTATGATCCGATAGTATTATGGCAAAGTTCTGAATTTTGTTTACAATCGTGTGTATTGAGAACACATTCATTTACATCTGAACAAATAATAGCAGTGATGGTGAAAATTAAAGTTCCATAGTGAAAGATTAGCCAAAAAACGAAGTATCGAGATTCAACTTAATGATAAAAAATTCGACAGTTTAGATAGATTTGATAGATTTAACTCGTCGCTCCTCTAATAACCATTTACTCACCACAAACAGCAATTAGTATATTAAAATTTACTAATCAGTAAGGAAATCGAAATTTCATTCGCGTACCTTCACAACGATCCCTTTTACCAGGTATCTTCGCAAAACCTTTTTTATTGCAAGAACATTCGTAACTACCGATTGTATTTTTGCAAATAGTTGTACCTGGATCGCAAGTATTATTTTTTTCGGCACATTCATCGATATCTGAAAAATTCACCAATTTCTCAGCAAGAAATCTGAACAATCCGAAGATATTTGCATCTGAATAAAACACATAACTTTTTCATTTTTAAAGTATTTGTAAACGAATTTGGAAAGAAAAAAATTATTACCTAAACATTTTTTTTTATTTCTCGATTGTTTAAAACCAGCTGGACAAATACATTCATAAGTTCCACGTAAATTTTTGCATTTTCCATGTGTTTTACCGCACTCATCCAGACCGTCTTTGCATTCATCCACGTCTAAATTGAGTAAAAATTTAGCAAAATTCTCCGCCAGCTAAAAACCATTAAATAAACCATTGAGTGTAATGGGTATATTTTAAATTTTTAAGTATATTTCAAAATTTCCTTGGAAAATTTTTCAAATCATTCAAATTTTTCAAATTATTCTAATTTAATCCCTAATTTCATATTATCAATATTATGCAATATTAATAATAGATCATTATTATCATTAATAATATAATTTTCAAATAAAAATTTACCATCACATTCCCTATTATTTTTCGTGCTTTGTTTATATCCCTCTGGACATTTGCAATAAAATGAACCTTGCGTATTTACACATTGAATTCCTTTAACCTTCTTGGAACAAGGTCCCAAACCTTTATTCGCTTTGCACTCATTTATATCTGTAAATATACCTATGATGATTATATTTCATGCGATGATTATATTTTACCGTTGACTTGACTACCGTTTTTATTTTATGATCAATCATTTTTCAAATTTTAAAATTTGAAACGATCTATCTGATAAATAGAGTTACACTTACCGTCGCATTCCCTTGTTTTCTCATTGAACCTAAATCCTTGCTTACATTTACAAGTCACCCATTTTCCTTCTTTTTGATTCGGGAATAGTGGAATACATTTGGCACCCGACGGACAGTCATTTCTCGTTTCGCATACTTTTTCAGCTAAAATATTTTTTAAAAAATTTTAACAGTGATTTCAAATGATATTGATAATGATATCGTCCTTTTTTTATTAATGATAAGTTTTTTCATGCTTAAAAGTAATTTAAAAGTTAAAAATTGGATGATAAATAAACTGACGTTCACAGATATTCTTGCCATCACCTTGATACGGCTCTTTACAACGGCATTCATAAAGCGGATCCTTATCAATACAATCGGCATTTTTATGACATATTGCTGTACCAGTTTTACATTCGTCGATTGCTTAAAAATCACTAATATTTTATCACTAATCTATTTTAATATATACAATTCATAAGTTACAAATTGGTATTTCATTCTAATTTTTCGAAAATTTTCATATAAACAAAAAATGACATTTCAACAGAAATTTCTAAATTATCGAAAAATTGCAATAGAGAAACTTTGATGAATATCAAAAAAAAAACTTTTGAAAATCCAAATTTTATACAGAAACATACGATCACAATTTGTTGTTCCATCACCAGTATATCCAACATTACAAGTACAATTGTAAACTTCACCGCCATCTCGAGAACTTTGTAAACAATAAGCATTTCGGTGACATGCATCTGGACAAGATGCATTCACAACACAATTAAGGAGTCCATGTTGCACTGCTGGAGGTTTACATTTGCATTCATAACTGCCATCATGATTGATACAATCAGCTATTGCCGGACAAGCTAAAAAAATAGCCCATGAATAAAATTTCTTTGGCCATACCACTTATAGAACTAAATAGAAGCATTTTAGCTGAAAAAAAAAATTAATGAATCTCTAATGATGACAATAATAAGCAAGCAGGTAAAATAGTCTAATATTTTGAGATTCTCGAGAAGCACGAAAAATTCCACTAAGACAACCACTGATATTGTCTAGCTCGAGCTTTCCATTTTAACTAGAAACGGGCAAGGAAATAAAATTTGCATCTGAATTATCGATTAAAGATTCAGGAATTTTTCATAAAGATTCCGGAATTGACTCCGGATTCCGGAATTTCGTTATAAATTGACAAATTTTTTTGGTCTAAATTTTGATTATATTAAAATTTTGATTGGTTTAAAATTGTCAATTTATTCTTATTAAATATGAAAAAATGGGCTTGAGCGGGTCTGAATTTTTATTAATAATTTTTTTAAAATTAAAATTAATTCTTATTAATATAAAAATGGAACTAACCATCCTTCTTCTCATGACATTCATCTATATCAACGCAAGCCTTAAGAGTTTTATTCGCATATCTCATTGGCTTAAATCCAGGGTCGCATTTACAACTATATCCTCCTTTTCTATTCACACAACTGGAATATTCGGGACAATCAAACTGAAATAAGTGATTTGCGATAAAAAATACGATTGAGAAATTCAAATGGCTGGTCATAAATGATATCTTTTTCGGCTAAACAGGTGGATTCCCACTGTTTACACGGGTTTTACTTAATGGTTTATCCATTTTTATCAAAGGATAGAAATCGAATCGATACTGTTCGCTCTTCTTTTCCTAATTTGTTCTCGCCATTACTGGCACAGATTTGCCCTTACATCTTCTAAATATTGAAAATTCAAATCTGCCAGCGATTCTTTAATAAAAGTTAAAAAGAAAAGTTATATCTTGCAGAGTAACAAATTTATAGTAAAATACTTGATTATTGGCACATTCATCGTTATCTACGCAACCAGTTGGTCCTTTGATAAATGCTGGCGAATTGCAGACACATTTATATGAGCCTGGCAAATTCTCACAACGTTCCATTGGCAATTTGCATCTGAAAAGAAAAAAGACGAATATTTTAGAAGAAAGACAATCAAGGCACTAGGAATGAACTCGCTCCGCTGACTTGTTGCATTAGACAAAATATACCATGGAGGTCCTTTGCGACAGAAGTACAGATGAGTCACCAGCATGACCCGGATTGAGCAACAATCCATTTTATCTCCACTTGGAATGAATTTATGAATTTTTAAAGTTTTCACCATTAGTGGTTAAACTCGCTCCGCTGCCTTGTCGCATTGGACAAGAGTCCCTTATGCCAGAGAGTCCCTTGGCGATAGAAATACAGTAGCCAGCATCACCCGGATTTTTTGACAGGTTTACTCGGAATGAATATTAGATATAAAAAAAAAATAACACCAAGTCCCTTTATTTTTATCTGAACGAAAAGAAAAAATGGGTCATTTCTGCTGCATTTCCTATCTTCAAGTGATCCTCTGACGAGCGAATTTCATCTTAAAAATTCCCTTAATTTTCATTTTGAAAGAATTCAAAGTATTAACTTGGCCTTCATAAATTTCTTCTTGTCGCTTATGCGTATTTTACATTCATTGATATCAACGCATTTCTTTCGATTTTTAGACATTGTATAACCAGTTGGACAAACGCAGTTAAAACTACCTATTGTATTCTTGCAGACAAATGTTGGTGGACAATACGCTTCACCGGATGCACATTCGTCTATATCTGAAATAATAAAAATTTTTTAACAATAATTTTAAAAATTTTTAATATCTAATCGTTTATTATTTTGTTAATTGGAATTCAAAGTGGCTTTTTAAACAAACCTTTGCATGCACTTTTCGCATCCGATCGCATGAAACCACGTTTGCATTCACACTTATGCCGATGTTGTTCATTCACGCAAATTTCATTTTCCATGCAAATCTTTGCTTTTCTTTTCTTTAGATTCTTACAATGATCTTCAGCTAAAATCTGATAAAAATTCAAGCAGAATTTGGAAAATTTTAGTTTGGTATCGGACTTTTTGAAAAATATCAGCCTAGTGGAACTATTCGAAGTATATAGTCGTGCGCATTGGAGAAAACGGAAAATTTACGTGCACATAGCTTTCCATTATTCAAAGCTGCGCCTTTAAATCCAGCTTTACATTTACAATGTTGGTGAGTTTCATCTATTCGTGCGCAATAAGCGTTAGGATCATGCGTACAGTTATTTTCTCGACTACAGTCTGGTGTATCGACTGAAATTTTGGCTTAAAAAAATCTTGAAATTATCTTCAAATATAAGACAATGGACTTTAAAAAAAAGCCGCTGATAAAATATAAATGAGAAATGATAAGATATTGGATTGTTCTCTTAATTGAATTAATTAAGCCTTAAGGCTATCTTCAACTGATCCTAATACATGCCTTAGGCATTCTGCAAAAAAATCAGATATGAATCTTTATCTAATGATTAAATAAAACATACTTTTGCATTTATGCGCATGGTCTTCTATTTGTCCGCGAGGACATTCACAAATATAACTTCCAATCGTATCGATACAAGTAGCTTTATCATCACATGCTTTATTTTCCTTTTTCATATCATTATCAACACCTTCTTTACATTCATCGATATCTTAAATTCCAATGGGCCAAGAATCAATGCCTATTCTTTGTAAAAATTCAGAAAATTTCCAACTGTCTTAAAATATCATTTAAGAAAATTAATAGAGAGGAGAGTTAACAGCTGGAAAATTTCAAGAAATCATCAAAAATAGTCAACTGAAAACATACTTTCACAAAATTGTCCGTCGGAACTCAATTTAAATCCTTCGTCACAAACGCATGTATAATTGGAACCATAATTTACGCAAAGCATACGTGGTTTCTTACAAAGATACAAACTTTTGCAGGGCGTTCCGAAGGGTACTTTCGGCTAAAAGGAAATTTAGATGATTTCTGATCCTTTCTATCGCAATTATTGCCACATCATCGTAGATTGATAAAAATTATGATCTGCTTTTCAAGTTTTTCTGGTAATATTTCCGAAAAAAGAATTTTATAGGATGCCGATAATCTCATCTAGCGGTCTACTTCAATTTGCTTCTCATTTCCCACTTCAGAAAGTATCTTTCAGCTATAAAACTTGCTTTATTCTTATAAAAGAGGCAAAGGTTCAGAAAAAGCTATCAAAAGTAAAAAACCAGTTAGAATTGGATTACTATAACTAATAAGTAGTTAAATGTGAAATTCGAAATAACTTAAAAGAATTTTGGAAGATGAGAAAGGAAATCACTAATAAGCTCGGATAGTATAATTGAACACTAGGCCGATTCTAAATTGACATCGAAATGTAATTGGCCAAACTGGAAACTAGTGGCAACTAATCATTTTGGTCAGCCATGATTATTTCCAAGGTAAGCTAGCTTTTCCACTTACCTTGCACTTGCATTTATCAGCCACTTGACAATTTTTATATTTGTCTAATTCAAATCCTTCTTTACAGCGACATTCTGCCTTGATTTTACCTTTTCTCCGAATTAGACGACATTCGGCACCTTTACCACAACCACCTTAAAATAATATTTATCATTATCAAATCATCAAAACAAGAATCTATAGTTTAACATATATTAACATATAAAACTATGAAGCTACTCGCCTTGTCTCGTCAAATTATAAGAAAATCAAATTATTACCATTATTCATCGAACAGGGATTCTTCACACATTTACCCGAGAGTTCTTTCACGAAACCTGGTTTGCAATCACAAATCGCTTCTTTAGCAACCGATTTACAAACCTGAGTAGCTTTATCGCATTTATCGTTTGCCTTACAAGCATCAGTTACTGAAAATATGCAATATCATAAAAAAATAAGAATTATAAGAATAATTTAAGCAAAAATTTTTTGAATACAAATGAATACAGATGTTTAATTTAATCAAAAATACAGAAATTATCCAAAAATTATTAGCATAAAACATAATTTTTTTGATAAATTTTCGATATCTTAGGTTTTAGCAGTTGTTGCATTTTAACCTAATTTCAATGGCTTGCCTACTACTACTAGTACAGTTAAATTTCTTAATTATTACATGAGCATCCGTCGATAAATGCATCTCCGCTATAGCCTGGAGCACATTCGCACGTAAACGAACCAGGCGTATCAGTACATTTTGCACCCTTACCACATGCACGTGTAGTTTTCCCGTTTCTTTTGATACCCTTCAATATTTTACGAATATTTCAAAGATGTTTCCACAAAACAAATTTTTTTTTTTTGCGAATCCTCATCATAACTGGTTAAACTCGCTCCGCTGGCTAGTCGCACTGGACAAATATGCTACCTTTGGCGATAAATCTACATCACCCCGATTTTTGAACCAGTTTACTCCTGTAGAGAATAGAATCAGTATTGGCGCTTCGAACTGAACAACAACCAAGCCATCGCATCCCAAAGCTAATGTAAGAAAATATCAAAATTTGATTATTATTGTTATTAAATCCAAAAGATTCCATACTTTTCTCCAATTAGACATAAATTTCAGTGGAAAAAAACTTAAAGACTTAAAGTCTCCATTTTCCCAGTATTGCGGAACAATATTTGCTTATTTTAATTTAATTCTCCAATACATACCACTTTGCATTCGTCGATATTTTCACATACGCAGTTGGCTTTTTTTGCACAATTTTTTGGTTTTCTATAACCATCCAAACATTCACATGAATAAGTTCCATTTTTATTAACACATAAATTACCAATAGCATCGGGACAAACTGGTGGATCAGACTTACATTCATCAATATCTGAAATTAATTTCGAACTTGACTTCTTATCAACTACAACAAATTAAAGGTGACATTCGAGTCAAATTATTAATATAGGAAGGAAGATTTTGGTGCAGATGGAATGTGACTAGATTTGCCATAAATTTTATAGATTCACTCTAAGAAAATAATGGTTTATGAGATTTATTTATGATTATAAGGCCATAATTTACCTTCACACCGATCATTGCTGGTTTCTGTGTAACCAGATGGGCATATGCACATGTAACCTCCCGGTTGGTTTACGCATTTCATACGAACAATACCACCTTTTTTTCCACAATCATTGTTATCAGCATTTAAACATTCATTAACGTCTTAAAAATCATTAGCTAAATAGACAAAATTAGAAATATAGATTTCATCTAAATTGAGTTGAGAATTTTGATGAAAGCCTAAATTCGTCCCCAAATACTTACCCTCACATCCTTTTGTTGTTATAACATATCCTTTTTTACATTTGCACTTGAATGAACCCTCAGTATTAACGCATTCCTGTTTCTCGTCATCGCAATTATCCTGGCGATTTGCCGGATCACATTCATCGATATCTGAAAAAATACAAATATTTCTGCTGGCCGATTGGTACTGCTATTGTATTAGAATACTTCGGCTAATGTTAAACGACATACGAGCTTATTTTTTTCCTATTTTTTGAAGAAAGTAGCAAAGAACTGTGTATGAGGCAAAAAAATAGATATAATAGGATTTTAAAAGCACTCTGATCTGTGATAACGATAATTTTTATTTGAAATTTCGCTAAATTTACCGAAACATGTTTGACCATCACCATTGTATCCTCTTTTGCATTCGCATTCATAGCTGCCGTCAACATTCTTACAAAATGCGTTTGGATCACATTTTGCGACACCTGTCGCGCATTCATCAATATCTAAAAAAACAGCAATCAAGCATAAGCATATGACGAAAATCTTCGAAAACTATCTTGTAAAAAATAAAATTAGAAATTTCCAGGAACAAAATTTCTTCGCATAATCCTTTCGATAAAATCCATTTGGCATTTTTAAAAGTCCCAAATTTTTTTTTGGTGTTATTTATTAACCCAAAATGAAATTAATTATTAGCGATAAGTTTTATTCTCAATTTTTCTCAATTATAATGTTAAACTAAGGCGACGAAAAACAATGGATAACAAGAGACTGATAATTTCGCACCTTTGCAATCTTTATAATCCGGCGCATATTTACCGTATCCTTCGGCACATTCACAAGAGAATGTTCCAATTGAATTTACGCAAGTTGCATTTTTCACAGCACAATCATCAAGACCGGCTTCGCATTCATTCACATCCAAGCATGTTGGATTGGTCAATGAACTGAAATTATCGCAAGATATAAAATTCTAAAATTTAGGAAAAATTCCCGTTGAATCGTTCCTGGAAAACATACCTTCCTACTTTCGCTGTATAACCTTTACGACATTCACATTTATAGCTACCAGGTAAATTTAAACAATGTGTATTTTGTGGGCATTCCGATGAATTTACTTTCAGGTTGCATTCATCAATATCTAAAGATTAAATTAAATTCTTAATAAATCCAATATTGAGCAAGATTTAAGCATTTTTTTTTTAAAAATATTTAAAGGACAGATTCTAAGGACTGATAATGAAATTGATAAAATCAATCACCAATGCAATCAGATCCACTCAATTCATAGCCAACATCACATTCACAAATATAATTGCCTGGACCAGTATGCTTACATTTCAGAGGTGGTGCACATAAGTCGGATTCTGCGCAGGGATTTACCTCTGAAAATAAAAATTATTAGTTTTTTATGATAGAACTGAATTTAATAATAGTGAAGAAAAAAGGCATTCTAATTCAACCAATTAATATCGTAATTTTAAAAATTTAGAAAATAAAAAATAAAAAACCTTTGCAAGGAGGTCTTTTCAATAGCGATTCTTGGCTTAACGGAAAATCAGTAATTTCTTGCCAAGTATAACCAATATCACACGCACATTGACCAGTGAAACAACTTGCATTTACCGGACAAGGGAAATTTTTGTCGCAATAATTCGGATCTATTATTTATTTATCTATTATTTATTAGATTTGTATTATTCATTAGACTGCTAATTTTTTTTTAAGAGTCCTCGCCATCAATGGTTAAGCTCGCTCCACTGGCTTGTCGTACTGGACAAATATGCTAGGAAGTCCATTAGCGATAGAAGTATAGGTGAGTACCCAGCATCACCCGGATTTTTAGACAGGTTTACTCCTGCCGAGAATAGAACCTCAATATTAGCTCTCTGAATTGGGCAGCAACCACTGAGCTATCCTACCTCCAACATATATGACTGCTAATTAGGAGATACGAAAATTATTATTACTATTAAAAGAAAAGTAAAAAGTAAAACTTACTAACACATCTCGTTGGACTAATAGCAATCGCAGATGATGGGCAAATACATTTATAATAAGGTTCATCCTTAATACTTTCGCATTGTCCAGGCATACATATTGTTGGATAATTAGCGCATATATCCTCGCCTATAATGGCCATTTAATTTAAATTATTACCGGTTACATATAAATGAAGTAATGAACTGTTTTTGCCATTACAGTATAATTCATGGTGAATGACAGCAATGGAGACTTTTAAACAAGCTTCTCCAGGCTGCACTCCATGTATTTCTATTTCTATGCTTCAGTTTATGCTCGATCAAGTTCACAAAGTTTATATGTGGACTTTGTGAGCAAGCAAAATATAACATATATAACATGGCCCAGTGATCTACTGCTTCTCTACGGTTAATTTTATTTCCAGTCTCTTAATAGAAAAGTTGTAATTAAGAATGAAAATCGAACTGGTATTAGGGTAGCCACTTTTATCCCTATTGGGTTTTTACTGAAGTCCTGTGTCAATGGTTAAAGCCTAGAAATAGGAAAATAAAGAAAATTCATTTATCACTTTCATATTTTTTTCCTTAAAAAAAGGTTAAGTAGTTATCAGATCTCTATGAAATGCATTAAAATGGAACAAACATACGCTCACAAACAGGTCGTAATGCATGAGTTGCAACTTTCGTTTTAAATCCTTGCTCACATACACATTTATACGATGCAAACGTATTTATACAAATGCTATTTTTTAAGCATTTATTGCTTCCATCCGTGCATTCATTACGATCTAAAAAAAATGCAAAATTTTTAAAAATTCATATTGAGAAAAAATTTTGGTACTAAAATGTTGAGTAATATTTAAAACAATATATTTCCAATTATATTTTTTAAATTAGACAGATAAATAGAAATGAATGATTAGAAATGATAAATAATGATAAGATATCAGATAACGCGTCACAAAGAAGAAACCTTCGCAATGATCATTAACTTTTGTTAAACCATATTTACAGTCGCATGTATAGTTGCCAATCGTATTAACACAATTTTCTATTTGCTTATTGCATCTATCTTCACCATCTTTACATTCATCTTTGTCTATAAAAATTATCTTTTCTTTTTGGCAAATTATAAAATCTAAAAGAAAAAATTTGGTAAGTAAGAAGAGCCGAACGACAAGCCAACATAGTTAAGAAATAATATGATTTGATAAAATAATAAATAATATAAATAACAATAAATAAATAATAATAAATAATAATAGAAATAATATGATCTGATAAGATATCAGATAAGATATTAGAAAGAATACCAGCGAAAAAAAATAAATTTGATAAATTTTTTAAAAAAATTTTTAAATGATCAATTTAAGCTGATATAGGTCGAATATCGCTAAATTGCACTATGCTAGTGATAAAATATACCAATGCATGTTTTCATGTCGGTGCCAATAGTAAAACCTTCTTTACATCCACAGATATGTGATCCATAGGTATCAACGCATTTTCCATGATCGGCGTCACAAGCCGCTTTTCCGTTAATACCATCTTTACATTCGTCAATGTCTTTAAAAAAAATTAGAAATAACGAGTAATTTATTTTCTTTTCTTAGAATAAAATAATTTAATAATTTAATAAAATAAAATAATAGAATAATTTCAAATTATATTGAAATTTTTCTTCATTTTGAAAAAAATTTCCCATATTTTCTCATTAATTCGAAAATAAATCCAACTTTCACAAATATAAGTTCCATTCGTTCCCGAAACATTACGAAATCCATTCATACATCTAAATAAATTTATAAAAAATGAAAAATAATTTCGCAATAATTATTATTAATAGAAATATTAAAAATATTTATATTTATTTATTATAATAGAAATATTTATTAATAGAAATACATTTTTTATTAGAAATATTCTAAATAATAAGGAAATAATATTTTCTTGTGATTGGAACTTTTTTTTAATATTGAAATATTAAGAAACTGGTTTTAGGTTACCTATATTTTTCATTTGGGTTCTTTTTGGGTATTTTTTAAAATAAAAATCACAAACTCGCAAGTGAATCCTGGAACTCTATTGAAACATTTGCTCATCTTCGCGCATTTTGCCGTACCTTCTTCACATTCATTGATATCAGCGCAAACATCCGATCCTAAAAAATCGACTTTTTAAAAAAACTATAATTGTCTTGAAAAAAGTTTGATATATTGCCGAGACATGGTTTTTCTATCATCGATCGAATATTAGCAAAACAAATCTAATGTTTTGTAAAACATTGCCTACCAGGATTCTTCCTGAAACCTTCTTCACAGCCACATTGATAACCACCCAGTGTATTAATACATTTCTGTTTAGGTAATGGACAAGCATTCATCACTTCTTTACATTCATCGATATCTTGAATATATAATTTTGTAAGAATTGTAAATCAACCGTTAATTCTAACAAATATTTTTATATACCTTTGCACTCATTCTGTGTGCCTTTTCCAGTAAATCCTGGCTTACACACGCATTTGTATCGAGCATTATCTAAAGCGGGTTGCAGATCAACACAATTTGCGTTCGAATCACAATCATTCTCTGTCTTTTGCATACATTCATTTATATCTGCAAAATATTTTAACTAAGAAAAAAATTTTGAAGAAAAAATTCCACAAAAAAATTTAAATACATTGAATTAAGCAACTTCTTCTCCTAACAGCTCTCACCATTACTGGTTAGGCTGGCTCCAACGGCTACAAGGGTAAGACGCTTCCAAGCGGCGCGGTCTGATGCCATGGTCGACAGTAATGGAAGCCGTTCCTTTTTCCATCGTCTAAGTCCATATATTGCTGGTCCACCTATACGTTCAAAATCTTTTCTCACCGTATCAGTCCAGGTTTTGACAGTTCGCTTTTGACGCCAACCGTCACACGGTTTAGTATTGAATTAAGCATGGATCCATATTATCATGCCAATTTGTTTTTAAATAGAAACTAGCGAACTGATTAAAATACTTACTAACACAAGTACCAACAGCGTTCATTTGATATCCTTCACTACAAATACATTCATAAAATGGCCCATTTCCAATTCGATGGCAAATGCTGGTCATATTATTGCAATGCGTACAGTTGTTCACTGGATCTGATTTTTCATCTAAAATGCATGCCATCTTTAAAATGCAAATTAATTAGGTTTTTTCTCGAAAAACTAAACTATCATTAGATTTAATTATTAAATTAGATATTAGATAATCATTTATGCGCGAAATCATTTGATAATCATTTATCGTTATTTATTTAATTAGCCTTGCCATCTTTTGTAAACCATTCAATAATGGTGAAATCTTGGTGACTACTGTTGACCCATTTGAAAGTTTCTCATATCCATGTGGATGGCTCTTATCATAACTCTTGTTATCACAGCGAAATTGCCATAATCGATCATTCAAGCGCCTTAGAGCCTAGTCTTAGCAGATATGCAATCAACTCAGAAATGACTGGTGCTATGAAAATTTTTGAAAAACTTTATACTCAATAACTTTTCAAATAAAATCCCATTTTCATCCATAGAAAATATATTATCAGTGAATGATTTGTGATAAAAAATGATCTCATGATTCTTAATGAGAAAAAAATTTTTTTTACTAAAAGTATAATTTTTTGATGATTTTATTATAGTTTCAAATTTGAAATACCGAAGCATGGAGCAGATTCATTCATTTGATGTTTGATTTGCCTAACGAAACCACTTTTGCATTCGCATTTAGCAACACCATTCTTATTCGTACAAACGGTACCAGCGATACTCGCGCAGGGATTACTTCGAACACATGGATCAATTGCTATCAATATTTATCACATTTAATACTAATAATGAATAACTTTCTGGCAATTATTCGAATTTATTAAATATTTTAGAACATTTCTAAAGCATTTAACTCTTTTCTAAAGCATATTTTAAACAAAAATTTCAAAGAAATAATTCTTCATTTAAGAAATCTAAATGATAATTTTTTCACTGTCAATTAACATTACTCAAATAAATATTCCAGAGTCGTAATAGATAATAAAGAATAAAGATTGAAGTCAAAAGTGGTATAGACTAGAAGGAGCAATAACCTTATAGCCTTAGGCATCGAAGAGGATTGGGAACATTGGGCCAGTGAATTGTTTTAGTCAGCTAGCTCAGTAAAACTCAATTTATTGTAATTATTGTAATTAATAAGTGATCTCATTAATCTAATTTTGGCTTAGAAATAAGAAATAATACGGAAAAAAAATTAAGATAAAATTAAGATAGAAATATGCAAAACAATTGCTAAGAAGCAATTCTTCGATACAAATTTATTCCTTTTTAATTTTTAATAAATTCATAGCGCTACTAACCAGTGCAATTTCTTCCATCACCTTCGAAGCCTTCACTGCACTTACAGTTGTAACTTCCTGGTGTATCTTTACATTCTGCATGGCCTGGACGCTTATCACAGTCATTAAGATTTGGATCAGCACAATTTGCGATATCTTGACAAATTTCGTTAGACCCAGGAATTGGTTGAAAACCTTTCTTGCATTTACAATTGTAACTTAAAATTTGTTGAAAATTAAAACTGGTTTAGGTAGAATTTCAGATCATTAAATTTTTTTGATAAAGTTTTGAGCAAAATTGTTAAAATATTAGGCAAATTTGCAAAAAAAAATTAAAATTTATGAATTGGGTGAGCTAATTTAGTGATAATTTTCAAGCCAAGAAAATTCATCAAAATCAAGGAACTAAATTAATAATTACATCGAATATAAAATATAATTACAATATTAATTCAAACGTGGCAATTTAGAAAAAAATTTAGAATTTAAATTTAGAAAAAAAGAAACTTTTAAAAAAATTTTTTTAATAAATTTTCACTAACCCATCATTAGCACTATTTAGCACACAGTCAGTTGTTGCTTTTTCACAAACTTTACAGAAATAATTTTTATCAGCTAAAATATTAATTGATTTAAATTTATCAATTATATAGAGAAATTACTTGAATAAATCCTATTTTCAAATTTCTCGATTTATTTAAATTTCGCAAAAATTAGATGAAATATTTATAAATTCACAAGTACCTTTAAAGTCGTTAGTGATTTTTAATTTCTTATATTTGAAAATTATCTTATGTAATATACTCTGGAAACTAACGTTCACATGTCTTGATTCCATCACCTAAGTATCCTTCATCACATTTACAACTATAACTGCCAGGCGTATTTGTACATTTTGCCTTATAGTGGCATGGCTTATTCAACATGCACTCGTCAATATCATCGCATGTCCTTACAAATAAATGATAAATGATACTTAAAGTGTTAAAAAAATGTTTATCAATTTTTCTATGAATGGCAACTCGATTATTCTACTCATTAATATCATTTTTCTGTATCCAAAGATCGTTGATAATCTTCCTACATACTTTGTACATTCCAGCAAAATCAGTTTTTTTCTTAACAACAATGAAAATTAATCAACATATATTTCTACCCACTCACTGATATGAATTTCTACGGCAACTAAACTTTCAATTCGGTAACTTTCGATTATACCTTGGATCTGCAGGCTTCTTTATGAATCCTGGCTTACAGTTGCAAATATAAGATCCAGGAGTGTTTTCACAAATTGTATTCTCTCCACAGGCAGTTGAATTTTGGCACTCATTGGTATCTACAAAAATCAACGAGAATTTTATTAATTCCATTTTAAACGATATATTTTGAAGAAAATAACATGAATAGTTTCATCCTTCTAATATTTCTTTAGATTTTTTTCAATTGACAGATTTAAATAAAGATATATTTTCTGAAATCTTATATTTTAAGATTTACTATAAGTTTGAAGCAGACGGAATATAATTGCCATAGGAAAGATTAGATAAGAAAAAATATACCTAAGCATCTCCTCCATTTATATCCACCTTTAGGATCGCCCATCCAGCCTTCTTTGCAAAAGCAAACATATTTTAATCCATTATCATATATAGGCTCACGATTTTCACATTCAGCATTTGGCAGATCACAATCATTTAAACGATCATCAGAACATTCGTCAATATCTGAAAAATTTTATCAATTTTTGATTTCATATTTTATAGCCCATATAAATAGTTTGCAGATACGCCAATATTTAAAGCGATGTTTCAATATCCTTCTTAGGATAGTCATTGCAATGATAACAGATTGCAGTGATAACAGATTATTTCTAATTTTTTCTAATTCTTATTATCCTTGCTTACATTTCTCTTCTCTTCCCAAAAATATTAATTGCTAAAAAGTATTAAAAATTGATAATTCAAAAATCTACTACTTTTTATATAATTACTTACCGGATAGTTTTAAGCAAAAATTTAGCTCATTTTTTATTACTTTTTTAATAGTATTTACTGAATGAAGTCTATGGCTACTAGTATTACTTGATTAATAGATGAATAACACACCGTAGCACATAAAACCATTTCCTGAGTATCCCTTTTGCGGATCACATGGAGCGCAAGAATATCCAAAAACACTATCAGCTGTCGCTGGCAAACATTTCGATGCTTTATGACATTTGTGCCGACATAATAAGCAAGGATCATAACCTTCAAAATTGATAATTCTTATTGATAATTAATAAAGAAATAGAAATTATAGTGGAATTTCAACAATTTATTATGAAAAAAAAAAATCATAAATTCATAATATAACGATTTTTTTTAAGCTAATAGCTACTTTCGCAAATAATTCCGTTATTTTCTGCTTTTGCATTAAAACCCATCGGGCATCCGCATTCTGCTTCCTTGCTTTTCCTATTTATATGACATTCCTTCTTTTTTTTGCGACATTCACGCATAATTGTCTTATGTTTCGATCGATCACATGGAATATCTGATAATGAATGATTTATTTTAAAATCCTATATTATTGATAAAATATTATTATATTTTTAAAACCAACGTTAAAAATTCGATTTGTGGTAAAAAATCGAATAGAAGGCTTGGAAACACATTAAATCCGTAATCAGCCCAAGCCGGAAATAATGAATTGATCATTTACAAATGTTCCAGAATTATTGAAAAACGGATTGTAGCATTATAATTAAAATAGCGAAAGGGGCTGGATTTACGGAAATACTCTTTTTTTAGATTTTTATTTTAAAAACACCAACCGCATTTAAATCCATCGCTTTCTAAAGTGAATTGATCACACTGGCAGCCAATACCAATATAGCGCTCAATATTTAGTCGCTCGCCAACCATTTGTTTCGCACCTTCACCGCAAATTTCCCCACCGGATCGATTAAGATATTTATTGAAGCATGGATTCCGATCCCATATAACCTTTAAATTTCAACTAATAGAAATGAAATTACTTACTTATTAATATTGATGATCAGAATGAATTGACCAGAGGAACTAAGCAAATTGATCTGCGATCTCTTATTATCACCTATATAAGATTTCCACTTTATTTGATTATAGCATGCAAAAACCGAAAAATAATAATTCAAAAAATAGATAGATGATAATTTTAGCTATGAAAAATATAAATCTAAAGCCTAACAAGTCTAGAAATAAATCACGATTGTGGACAAAATGAGATTAAAAACTTGAATTCTTTCTTTTGGAGGAATTTTGAAAGAATTTTATAAATGCAATGCAAAAAATCGACCTTTAACCCTCTATTTCTAAATATTCCTTAATTTATTATGGAATGTCACTAGTCTAATAGAAAAAATCCATTAAAAAAATTTAAAATTTATGCGAATAATTGAATTTATAAAATAAAATTTAAAAAAAATATTACGATATTCGGTGGTGTTTCTTTAAGTTTTCCTTTTTCATGCACTGTAAAAATTAATAATTTTAATTTTTTCGCGAAATGAATATTAATGAAATTAAAATGAATTTGAAATGAAGTAAAAATAAAATAAAAAAAAATTATTTTCACTAGAGCGTTGCAATTTAAAATAACAATTTAAAAATGAACAAAAATTCGATTTTTTTTATCACAATTTCTTCTTAAATCTATCTATTCAAGCGATTGTGATATTATCAATCATTCCTGAAAACAAACTTGTTGAATTACAATAATAATAACGATGATAACAATATATGATAACAACGATATGCAAAAATAATAAATGATAAATATACTAAATTCAATATGTTTTAATCATAAGAGTACTCACCATGTTTAATTAAGCTAAATCCAAACTAGCTTATCTGATCAGATGAATTTTACTTATCACTTATCGATAGAAATATAGAATGAGATGCCATCACCATCAATTTACCATCGTAATTTTTGAAAGACAGGTTTGTCGCCTAATATCGGTGCACTGAAATCGGTGCACGGAGAGAAGCGAACCGCTATGCCAATCTACTTCCACTTTAAAAAACTGAAATTTTATTCAAATAGATTATTCAAATAGATAATTCTTTTAATTACGCGATTAATGATCATTTTTTACGCGATGATAATTTTCCGCGATTTTAGCAAAATTATTAACGAAATAATTAGTAAAATAATAATAAAATAATGCTTTTAAAGTGCTCGAAAATTTTCTTTGCCGATATTTTATATTTTCAAATGTTTATAGTAAACTTAATAAAATTTGCGATAACTATAATTTGGTACAATATGGTTATATTTTGGTAAGAATAATTACAATATGGTTAATATAAACGTTTATAGTAAAGATAAAAAAAATTTGAGCAACCACATCGCCCAAAATTAAGATTAAACTGGTTATGATTCAAAGTTACAAAGGGTTAAAACCACAAAGATAAAATATTATTGAACTGTTATCACCAGTGAAAGGAAAAATATATATATATATATGATATATATATGATTAAATTTGTGTGATAAACATTATAAATAACAGATTAATGAACTTTATTGTCACAAATAGCTTACAGCTTAATCATCAAAAAATTCATTAATAAGTTGAATTTCCAATGAATTTACTAAGGCAATGATAAGATCAGTAAAGATTTTTTTTCAAAATAGGCATTCATATCATTTATCCTATCTAGATATTTTACCACTCAAAACTGTTTAATTGCTAAACAAATTTTAAAAAATGGTATACGCAACAGTAAAAAATGGTGTACGCAACCATTTCACGAATGATGATGATGTTCGAATGACTTTTTTAAGAGATAATTTTATGATAAATTTTTACCATATAAAACTTATCAAATAAAATAAAAAATGGACGCTTCTGCATTTTTATAGTGCAAATGTCGTAAAATAATCCTTCGTGTTCATTTGAAATTCAATTAATTTGCATTTTTGCACCTAAAATTTTTCCACTAATTTTCCTTTTTTTTTATTTTTTATCATTTATTTAATGCAATTTGTTTTTCAATTTTTATTTAAATAATATTTCAAATTTGGAATAAAAATTGGGGAAGAAAAAAAAAGAAATCTACTGGAACGTGCAAATATTCCCATAATCTTATAACACCATTTTTACTTTAATCATCTCCATTGATTGCGTTTCTTTCATGAGAAAATTGCCTGGCGATAGACAGCACAGAGATATAGGCTAACTCCCCACACACATCCACAAAGAACAGCAAAACTGGACAATCACTTAAATTATATTGAGAGGCTTCATCTGGACTAAGCCTATTTAATAAAGCGGAGTGGTAATTCATTTCCATCGTCGAGTGACTCATTAGCAAAAATTTCCAACTGGACAAACAACCATACCAGAAATGTTGACCGCCTATTTTTTTACTGATAAGGCTTTTTTCAAGGTTAATCGAATCTATTTTATTCACTGTCAGTCAAAACAAAAAACACAACCGCCATCCACTATTATCATTGTCATAACCCATAAATAATACGCGGTCCATATGCTTAAAAATTAGGACAAATGACAATAATTGTTAAGATAGAAATTTGGCCATAAATAATTGTTATAAAATAAATACCATAAAAATGCCCAATTTTTTTTAAATTTTTTATTCTAAATTGATGTTTTTTTCCATTTTCACCAAATGAATAATTTTTTGCCACCCCAAAAAATTAAATTTTTAGGTTTTTTTTATTTCTCTTAAATTTTTATTAATATTCATTTACATAATTTATACAGCGAATTCGGCGATACTTTAAACAAAATGAGACCGAAAGAAAAATTTAATGATCACATTTTAAAAATTCATATATTTATGACATGTCTTGGCAGAATTATGTTCTGAGCCCCGCAATATCGTATTTTTTAAATTTTATTTTAAATTTTCTTAAAATCTTTTAAATTTTCGTAAATCTAAAAATTTTTTTTCGATGTATTTATAAAAATATTACAAATATTACAATCACCTGAGATGGTACTTAACCATTAAGAAATTTTTAAGAAAAAAACAAAAAATAATCAAAGTCGATGGAAAATAAGTTATACTTAATATTATTATCAATACAATATTGTTAATAAAAAATATATTTGAAAAAAACTTCTATTAAATAAGAAATAAATATAAATTATACAAGAGCCATCTAATGCAAATTTTACGAGATGAATTCAATGGATGAACGAATTTTAAGCGATTCATTCTTCATTATTTGTGTATTTGACCTTAACTTTAACCTATCCGTTCAAAATATAAGCTTTAACTATAAAAAAATACCTATAAAATAGAGTGAAGCGAAAACTCAGATTTTTTTTAACTGCATTTAACTGTACTCTTGTATTCTTATTTTTCTATAATATCAGCTATAAAATCGTTAAGATAATCATCTGGATGATCACCTTCGAATCGCCCAACCAGATTGCCATCCTTAAAAGCTAAAACAGTTGGAACAACTTTAACATCATAATCCATTGCAAGATCACCAGCATAATCAACGTTCACTTTAGCAAGAAGCACCTGCAAAAATTATTAAAATAACGAAAAAAATAAATGAAGTAAATATAGAAAAGTATGGATGAAATGTATGAATAAAAGGCTAACCATTCCATTATTACCATTTACTTTAGCTTCAATTCTTGGACCAAGTAATTGACATGGACCGCACCAATCTGCATAAAAATCAACTAAAACTGGAATTGGCGAATTGACAACCTAAATTGCTGCCAAAATAATAAAAAAATTTCCTTTCACAAAATAAAATATGGTCTGAAACAAACTACTTTAATACTTTAATTATTTGAATATTTTAATTACTTTAAAAAATCAATGACAAATATGAATTGATTTACAAATTGATCATATTTAATCTTATTAATAAAATGCAACAAATCAGTGAAAACTAACTTTTTCATTAAAATCTTCAAAATTTTCCACAACGAAAACATTTTCTTTTGGCATTGCTTCATCACAATAATAACGAATTTTAACTTTTCTCTGAAAGCTAAACAAATAAAAATTTATTTATAAATTTATCTAAATTTTTTCAAAAAGAGAAATTAGTGGACTGAATTATTTAAAAATAGCAAATAGTAAAATAAGAAAAAAAATTAAAAATATTTTGTATTTATAACTGATGATTATCATAAAACTTAAAATTTATAATATATTTTTTGAAGTTTTTCTTTCGTTAATATTGTTTCAAATTTGAAAATTGAAAATTTTAAATTCTATTTTTTATTTTGTAAAAACAAAAAAAATCTAACGAAACAATTTCGAAAGAAATAAACTTTGAAAAATTTAAGGTAAAATTTTCTAAATTAATTTACTATGTTTTTCGTTGAATCGGTTGGCAAAAATGATGTTGAACGTTGTTGAAAATGTAAAACTGAATTTGCATCGAACGATATTTTCATGGGATTCAATGAACGACGCATAATAAGACGAGCAATGCACATTCGTAGATGAGACATTTCCAGGACAAATCTGAAATGTAAGATTTATACGAGTAGTTTGGTGAAGCCAAGCTTAGTTCTGATCTTTACGCTCACAATTAGTAAAGCATATTTCTCATTTCAATCAGGATGCCTTAACTTCTAATACCTTGGCAGCCAAAAATATGTGGAGAGGTGGAAAGCCATCTCAGTTACTAAATAACTCCTTAGCATATCAGCCAATGTTCCGAGCCTAATTGAATATGATAGGAATAAAATAGTGAATAAAAGTTGAAAATGGTGAAGAATGATTTAACCTTGACCTTTAAGCAATACATTACACTGTGAACTTATATTTAAAAAATAAAAGTCAACAAAGTCGAAAGCGAAATCAATGAGGTGAAAATCAGATCAGGAGCAGTTAATATTTTCGATGCTGGCCCAGGCGGCTGGGCGGACCCCTAGGCGATTAGCCGACTGCCTAATGGTGTAATATCTCTTGGCCTGACATTAAGCCAATTCCTCATAATTCTTTTAGAATTGAAGTTTCCGCAATTTGTAAATTTTTCCAAATTTATTATTGTTTTGTCGTATTTTTTGCATTTTTTTTTAAATTTCGCAATTAAATGATTTTATTTTATCATTTATTTCTTCTTTGCTATAAGTAAACGCGATGAAAATAAATATTTCTTTTGTTATAAGAAAATAAAAGTTCAAAAAGCCTAAATGATTTCTTGGAATATCTCTGGCCTAACAACCAATAAAGCCAATAAATTTGCAACTTAGGCCTTGTGGAAAAAAGTTGCAAAAGAGATTTTAGCCGCCTAAGGCAGCGAAAATTTGACGTGCAACTTGATTTTCATTACTTTCATAATTCAAACAAATCGCCAAACTACCCCCAACCTACTTTTTTTAAATGCTCTTATCCAATTAACAAAATACCCAACCTTTTACATTCATTTCTACAATTACACCATTTTATACCCCCTATCACAATAAGTAAGTTCACCACCACCTCAGAACTAAAAGGTAACCGAAATAAAATTACAGAATGAAGAAAAGCGTTGCGAGATCCAAAAAACCAAAAATTATTACTGTATTGATAAGGATCATTCAGCTTGGTTAGTGCATTTATAAGAACCATCCAGTTTAACTACTGTACTTATGAGTACCATCCAGTTTGACCCCGTATAACACGATCTGATTATAAAAAATATAAAAAACCTGTATATTTATGTATAACGTGAAAGAGAGACGAAAGAAGTAAGAGAAATGAAAGATTTTACGGAAAAAACCATTAAATGAACCATAAGTAAAAAAACAATAACCATAGGCAATAATTGTGAAGGTAAAATCAATTTCGTGAAATGAGAAACTAATTTAGAATTATTTCACGAAATTTACTGCATAGTTCATAATTTCAATTTTGAATAAAATATTTCAAAGGTTATAAAAAATTGCAAAATATAAGAATTTATAAAAATTACAAAATATGAGTTAATAAATCCATATAATAATAAATAATAATATTCCATATTTTTGTTGAATGTTAGGGAAAAGAAACATGAAAAATTAGAGAAACACAATGGGCTGAAAGAGGAAACAGAAAGAGGAAAGAGGAATAGAAAAGAGGAATAGAAAGTGAAGGCCAAAGTAATTCCACTTGATAATTGTAGCACAAAGGACTGAGACCTCTAAACTAGAAAAGTGATTTCAGCAGATTACAGGAACAACATCAGAGATCTCTAGTCAGAAAAGCTAAGATACTGCGTGGTAGCCTCAATCTCCCAGCTCTCTTGTTGAGGATAACCACTATCACCCAACACGAATGAGACTGAGAATGATTTCATTTTCTTTGAAATAGAAAGTAATAATTAAACAATATTTAAAGTAGAAAATTTTGGATGATTTTTATCACGATCACTGATAATCAGCTGATTTTTATTATCAAATGGCCACTTTATATTAATATTTTCATCGAATAAATTTATACCAAATTCAGTTTTTGGATTATAAACATCAGTACATTTATATATGACGTGTGCACCTTCCTCGGACATTGTCTGCAATGAATAATTAAACTTTTAGTAATATTTTGGACTCTTAATTTAGATTATTGGTCCAATAGTTCGCTTATGTAACCGCTGTAATCGCTTCGAAGTTGTTTCATCCACTTTGATGGTCTTTGACTAAACCTTTATTTACTTCTAAGACTATTTATTCAATTTTGTGGTGAAAATAGATAAGGAATCAAAATTCTGAAAAACCAAAATTTTATTCAAAAAGTAGAAAAAATTAAGAAAAAGTAGAAAAAATGAAAAATTTTACATAGAAACCATGAAGGAAGCCATCAGGTATCCAGAATCTCGTACCACTTTTACCATCGAGAATTTCACCATGCCATTTACCAAATGTATTCGAATTAGGTCGAATATCGACGGCAACATCAAAAATCTTTCCAGAAACCACGGATACTAATTTTCCCATACCAGGTTGAGAATGTAATCCCCGTATAACATTGTGCTTAGAGAATGAATGATTATCCTGAAATAAAATAATGCAAAGCATTAACGGTTCAAATCTAAATCCCAGTCTCCAGAATCTTGGCTGCATTATTGAAAATAGAATATTTCCCCAGCGGGCTATCACAATTCTTAGAGTAAACCTAAGATCAACTGGCCAAGAATAATCGAAATACAACGTATAGGAAATATATACTTGTTTGAAAATTTCACTGAAATTTAGTTCACTGGACCATTCAACAAGATTATAGGTCTCAGAGAAGAAACCACGATCATCAGGAAAGATTTTTGGGCGAATAAGTTTAAGGCCCTCGATTGACTCGATTGCTTCGATTTCAACCTTAACTCTTTTGCTAATTTCCATTATTCCTAAATTTTATTGGCATAAACAATTGAAGATCCAGCAATAATAAAAATTTTAGTAATTTTCTTCAAAATTCTTCTACATACTGTTACGATGAGACTTTTTCGCTTATCTATCATCGGTTATTTGAGCAGACAAAAGCATCTCCCCTTCCCCCCCCCCCCCCCCCCCCCCCCCCCCCCTCCTCTTCGCCACGTCAATCCCCTAAGTCTTTTTTACTTCACCTTAAATGGTTTTATTTCTTGTCATGGACATGAAATAGGAATCGAATGTAAAGGAATCTGAATGAAGACAACACAAACCGTTACTGTAATAAATAATAATAAGTATAAAACTAAAATATATAAAATAAAATATTTAATATGAATTTAAATAAAGCAATTAATTTAATCAAATTAAATAAAGGGAAATGATTAAAATTAAAATTATAATTATTTTAGTTGAAATTTTAATTAAAATTGAATTAATTATAATTACGTTATATAGTTTTATAATTATAGCTGTAGATATTTAAAATTTTTATATAAAAATATATTTAATTATAATCCAATTTCAATTATGAAAAAAAAAGGCTCATTAATTAAGGCTCATCAAACGGGTTGCTAGATGAGACAAATTTTGCCAGGAAGTCGCTTGACGGTAGAAGTGCAGATGAGTCGCAAGCATCACCGGGATAGTTCAAAGATTTATTTCTGCTACGAGTGGAAATCAAGCATTTGGCTCCAAATTTGTAGTAATAACTAATTGACCAATTTTTCGAAAAAGTTCTATCATTTCTTAACAGCGAGTTGGCTCATCATTGTCTGCTAGGCTCATTGCGCTGGCTTGTTGGACGAGATAAATTTTTGCCAGCGAGTCGCTTAACGATAGAAATAGATGAGATGCATTTGTCGTATCGCCATACATCACTTCGAATACATTGGAAATGAAAAATTAAATATGTAAAAATTAAAATAAAAAATTATTTTAAGTAAAACAAAATAAAATAAAATATGAAAAATATAAATTATAAATTTATAAATTATAAATTTGCCTTTAGTATTTTTCTTTTGCATTACGAAATATAAATATTGTTAAAATGCAAAAAAATAATAATAATATTTTTTGTACAATATAAACATATAATTTAAGCGAAATTATGGATTATAGAAGCCAAGAAAAACTTGAAGAATAACAATAATAACAATAAAAGCAGCAATCGCAATTAATAATAATTATAATATAATTAATAATAATAATAACTGATAGTTGATAAATAATATAGGCAATAAAAATAACAAATAGTAAGCAAATTTATAGGCATTAAAGATTTCTCATTAGGCCTGCTTCATTGGTTATAAGTGCCTTAAATCCTTTTTTGCCAACGAATTACTTGAGAATAGAAGTCTTCAACACCTCAAGGAAAACTTTTCCAAGAAATCTTTTGTTCCCGTCGGACAAAGATTGACAGCAATAAGAATAATAACAATAATGGATAAATAAATGAAAGAATGGTGGCTAAATGATAAGGCTGATAGGAAAATGAACGAAAAAGGTCAAATTAAATAAAAATTCGGCGATAAAGTTCATCGACAATTTATAAAGTTATTGGGTCAAATGATGAATTAATAACTGATAGTTGATAAACGTTGAAAATTTTCTTAAAATAGAAATATAAAAACTTTATTATCATAAATGAGGTTGATGGAATTATTATCATTGATTACCATTCTTACCATTGATTTAGTGATAACTTTTTAATACCATTCATAAACATAAAAATGTAATATATAAATATAAAAATAAAAATAAATCCTTAAAATAAGAAAGAATTTTACATAAAAACAGACGACATTAATGAAATACAGGAAAGTTTATATACAATAAATTTGAACTTTGAGCAGTGGTACTTCTTCCATTGGAAATAGAATGTAAATAGAATGATCTTAATTATAATAATACTTCAGAAGAAACTGCGATCTCGCTTGGTTATCACCTTGTTATCACCTTATAAAAAATGCTCCTTTAATAAACTTCTTTTTTTTAATTTCTAAATTCTTCTCTAATATTTTATGTTTCTAAAATTTTTATAAATCCTCTTGCAAATCTCTTCATATTTCTTCTTATAGTCGTTTCGCATTCCCTCGTTTTATTCTCTTAAAAGCTTTTCTCCTTTCCATTCAGTAGAAACCTCAATCTTCATTATGTATTCTTCACCTAGCTTATAAAACCAATGTGTTTTAGCTCCCTCAAACCTTCAGATTCTCGCTTAACTTCAGTGAACTTCTTATCACGAACTCAATATAATCGACATTCGACATCGCATAGCACTACTCAAGCTTCATAGATTCTTGATTTCTTCTTCAGCCCATAGTTTTTTTCTCATTATTAGCTAAAACAAATATAGCAAATATAGCTAATTTTTATCTATTTTTTTTGTTTTGCTTTCATTTTCGTCTATCGCATTGATAAAAATTTGACAAAATTTTTGATAAAATTTAGCAGAAATAAAATTGAAAATTGAAGAAAATAAAAAATGTGTTAAATATTCATATATATTATTTTTTATATTTTTTTGGAAAAAAAAGAAACAGAAAATCATAAATTTTGTCTCATTTTTCTAAAACTTTTTTTAGTAAAAAAATATAAAATAACAAAATTATTTAAATGAAAACAATAAAATTAAAATGCAAACTCAACAAATGCATATTTGTTCTTTGATCATTAAATGGTGAAAGGTGATAAACTTTCGATGAAATTATGGATGCATATCGAGAAAATTATAATGCTCATGGACTGATCTGATTAGTTTCGAATATCACTTAGGTAATTCGACTTCTCCTTTTGCTTCTGACAACTCGCATCATTATTGAATAAGTTGACACCGCTGGCTGCCAAGTATTTCCAAGCTCGATTCGATGCCATATCTGAGAGTAACAAAAAATACTTCCATTGTCTAAGATCCGCGATTTGATTAAGTGATTATTACAAATTTAATTGTTGAATTTATAAAAATTTTGATTTTTATTATTTATTTGATCTTTTATTTACAATTTTTTTATTAAAATTAACTTAAATAAAATAAATTACAAAATGAAAATTACGAGAAATTAAATATTTACCAGCAAAAATATTGCAGTTATTTGAACAACGAATTAAAAAATATTTTATTAAGCTCTTCATTTCTTGATTTTGCCGAATTTTCATAATTCATCACCTGACTATGCACCTCCTTAACCTTTCAAAGTTCCATTATAACAATTAATAAAAGCGTAGGCTGAATGTTAGCACTACCAATCATACAGCACAGCCGACTTTTTTATTACTATTTCTCGACTGCAATTTCGATTTTGAGTACAAACTTTTCTAGTAGATGGGATTTTATTCCATGTTTTTTGAATTTCATGGATAATTTTTTTGGATTTGCCATATATTTCTTCGAATAGAAGCCTGGCGAAATTCGTCATATTTTGCCAAAATTTGGCGGATAAAATTTGATAATAAAATAAAATTCGATAAATATTGTATGCAAATATTTCTCCTAATCATACGGGCATAGCGAAAGGCATTTCTCCATTCTTTCCTTTTTCTTTTTTTCGCTAATATAATATTCTAATTAAATAATATAGTGTTGAAAGGTATTATCGCTAAGGATAAAAAGGAACTGATAAGATAAGAAGAACTGATAAGGCGTTTCGATGTTTCGTCTCCTTATCAAGTGAAATAATTGAACTTCGAATAACTTGGAATAATTAGATCGATTATAATTTCATATTAATTTTCGTACAATACGCATCAATGCAACGGTTTTTTGAAAGTTTGAATTTCTTTTTTTTTGTTTTTCAGAGATTTTTCATGTATTTACGCTTCGGTAATAGTTTCGTCGATAATTATTTTAATTATTCATATTTATTATTTTCAATAAATTTTAATTATTTTATGAATTTGAAGCGATTTAATTCATCGAAAATCGATTTAAAAAATGCTTATAAATTATTAAATTTAACCGAAAATGCAACAAATGAAGAAATCAAACGTTCATTTTTTGAATTGGCCCGAAAATTTCATCCGGATTCCATTCAAAATCAGGTAATTTTTCCTATGATTTTTCATATATAAAATTATTATTAAAGCTTTATATTTATTGGTGAGAAAATAATGCGTTAGATAAAGGAAAGGCTTTTTGTTTGAGTTGTTTGTGAACGGCTTGAAAATGCCCCTTATTTTGCGATTAACGGAGCGAGCGTAACCAATAATAGCACTATTGTTGGATGAAGAAGTACCACTCAACTAAATTTTATTGAGAAATTTGCCTCTTCTTCTAAATCTGTTCTCACCATTACTGGTTAGGCTGACAGCTCTGGACAGCTACAAGAGTAAGTTTCCAAATTGCCCGATCTAATGCCTTCGTCGAAAGTAATAGAAGCTATTCCTTTTTCCATCGTCTAAGTCCATTTATTATTGGTCCTTATTATTGGTTATTATTGGTCGTACACTCTAGTTCGAAATCTTTTCTGACTGTGACAGTCCAGTTCTTAATTGACCTACTTTGCTTTGACGCCATCAGAGTTTAGCAAGCAACGAAGTTAATGTCAATTCTTGTTAAGTGATAAACAACGTGCCTTAACCAGCGAAAATGACGCTCTATGATGATAGTATTAATGCATTTGGTATAAATCATGTGAGATTTAATATAAATCATGTGAGATTTTATCAACTCGGTGAATCTTGGATATGAGTGCTCAGAATTAGAGAACTGTATTCTCCACTCTATCGGCCATGTCTTCGAGCTATATAGCAAGATTGAACGAATATTTGCTATAGACGCGAATTTTTCTTTTTATGATGATTTTGCGGCCACTTCATGAAGTTTTTGTTAAAATTTCTTGCTACATTTATTGGGGTTGCTACATGATTTCTTCTTTCACTTGGCTATTTGTTATTTCCGAGATATTTATTTTGAAAGTCTAGCACTTCCACTGCCATTGAATCGATAACAATAGTTATTTTGTCAGCTTCTTGTATATAAGATGAAACAATTTCGTTTTATTTACATTGATTCCTGAGTCCGATTCTTTTTACATTTTTCATTGCATTTTTCATTTACAATTCAGTTAATACATTTATTTATGAACAGTTTTATTAATTTGCAGAATTTCAGGGAAAAAGTGATGATTTTATTCGAATTCGAAATGCATATTGTTTAATAGTAAGAAGTAGTCAGGTTAAAATAGAAGAAGAAAAAGAAACCGCAACTTTTTCCGATGAAATTATTGGTGATATAAAGCATAAACCCGCTCAACATCGACAGGTCTCTCGCATTTTTTATCCTATCATTTTCCTTTTTTCTTTATCAGTTCCATTATTTTTTTGTTGTTGGCTGATTAAAATTTTAAATATTTTCATTTTTTTGAAATTAATTAATAAAATCAATTTTAATTAATTAATTAATAAAAAGATTAATAAAATCAATCCGTTAATTTAGTGAAATTACTGAAAAATTAAAATTATTGAAATTAATTTTATGAAATATAATTTTTAACTGGAATTGTTTATTATTTTTTTATATTGTTTATATTTATTAATATTGTCGATATTTTAATGAAGCGAAATTTTTTAGTATTTAGAATATGGTGGAATCGGACGTGGAAATCCATATCAGCGTCAAAAACAATATATAAATCATCGTGCTTTGCAAGCTTTAGAAAATGTTCATGAATATCTTCTCGATAAAACTAAATATGATAAGGAAAATGTGAGTAGAATTCATAACAAATAATAATAACGTTTTTTTTTCTATGAGCCGAAACGCTAGATTGTGGAGAGCATAACTTCTTCCACTTTTGCTAATGAGTTTATTTCATAAGTTATTACTCTTATGAAGGAGGAGAATCTATGAGTTTGATCCCTAAGTTGCTGTTATTGATGGTTTATCACAACAAATAAAAAATATTTTTCTATTTGATTTAGTAGAAAAAAAAAATTGGCAAATTAAATTTAAAGTGATTTAATGATTTGTTTAATTGGTTAAAATTTAATATCCTAGTTATATATTTTTATGTATATTTTTCCTACTAAATCAATATTTTATATATTTTTATTTTTATATTTTTTATATATATTTTTTTGTACAAGCACTCACCTAACTCAGTTTACATTTGAGTGAGGAAAATGTACTAAGGAATCCCTTGGAGATAGTACAAGTGAGTCGCCAATATCATCCGGATAACCATTAGAAATCCACCTTTTTTATTAGCTTTTTTCCTGAAAACTTTTTAATAATAGCGATTACACATTTTATATAAATGCATACTTCTAATATTTCCAATAATATTATATATTGTGTAGAAATGCTTGAATGTTAATAGTTGCTATAATTATATAATTATGTAACTATAATTATGTGGAACATAAATTCATTTTGTAGGAAATGGCTACAACTTCATTACAAGTAACGAAGGAACAAGAACATTATGCAAAAAAGCAAAAAACAACGTGAGTCTCATTCATTTATTATTCAAGTGATTAGTTATCAGTTTTTTCGTCTTTCTTTTGATTTTTATTCAAATTTTTATCAATCTTTTAACAGTTATATAATATTAAAGGAATGCTATTGAACGTATGGTAGAAGATATGATAGTCGAATCGATGAAAAGAGGCGATTTTAATAATCTGAAAGGAATGGGTAAACCACTTGCTGAGCAAGAAAGTAATCCTTATATCGATAATGTCGAATTTAAAATTAATCAAATATTAATAAACAATGGTTTTGCTCCACCATGGATCATGAAGGTTTTATTACTTATTATTTTATAAGCAAAATCTTTTCTTAACTGAGCGATATTTCTTTTTTTAAAAATAAGCTTATTTTAGAAGGCTTTCATGGATTTTTCGAAGTTTTAAATTCCTCTAATTTATTAAATTTTTTTGTAAAATAATATTTTTCGAAGCATTCATAGGAAAATTTTATTTTATTGCAGTTCAGTTCTTTGTTATTCATTTTAATTTATAAGAATATAAGATATAAGATTATAAGAATATAAAAATAATTTTTTTACATCCATTGCAATCAAAGTTTTTAATTTTTAGAATGCGGAAATACAAGAAAATATAAAATTGTTTCGAAGCAAAATAAGAATGGAATATGCAAAATACGTTGTGTCCAGAGGTTTCTTAATCGTTTTTATCTAGAATTTTTAAATTTGTAATTATTCCCAAGTAACTCTATTAGCTTACGTCCTGTTTCGAATTTTTTTGATGCCTGCAAGATTTCTATTCGGAAAACGTCTGCTAAACAGTAGACATAACACTAGACAGTAGATATAAAGTCTTCTGCCAGAAAATCACTCAAAGACGGGGGTGCATATTAGGAATAGCAATATTTTTGGTGATTGCTTCTATCAGGGGACAAGAAATCCATCTCATATTGCCGCATTCTATATTTTTGATTTCATTGAATTTTTCGATCTTTTAAATATTTTTTATTTAAATAGATACCTAATGATATTCACAGATGGCGTCAGTCTCACATCTAACGTGCTAGCACAATCGAAATGGAATAATATTACTAAAGAAATGGAAGAAACTGTAAATGCAATCAATAAAGCTGTGAAGGTTTCAATTTTTGATTATATGGCTATGAAAATCTCTTATATTTTTAATTATTATTAAGGTTCTAAATTTCTTTATTCTGCATCTTTAACGTGCACTTTTGGTAAAGAAAAAAAGAAAGAAATAATATACAACGAAAATTTTAGATTTAAAATTTTAGATTTTAGATTTAAAAAGATGGGTCGTTTTTTCTCAATGCGAGGTCTTATATATATATTTTTTTTAAAACTCCTCACTATTACTGATTAGACTCGCTCCACTGACTTATCGCACTAATCAGATGTGCCAGAAAGTCCACTGGGTATAGAACTACAGGTGAGCATCATCCAGATTTTTGGGCAGATTTACTCCCGTAGGAAATCGGACTTCATCATCGGCGTTCTGAATTGGGAACAACCCACAGAACCATTTTATCCCTACTCATATCTCTTATCAAACATTGCATTATTTTATCTTTTATGCTATTATTGTATTCTTGATATTTGACCTATATAGACCTAAATTATGCTTTAAAATTGTGGCGCACTTTTCGCTAACATCATTTTTGATTATTAAAAGTTAAAATCTATATTTTACAAAAATTTCGTTTAAATATTTATTTTCTTTCAGGATTATAATCTGTTAACTCCATCAGTCTATCGACAATTGTTCACTCTGTCATTTGTGCAGGAAATGAATAAAGCTGTTGCCGACGTTCAAAGTGAAAATTTCAATTCAAAATGGATTGTGAAAGCGCGTGAAATGCTTGTCAAATCTACCGAGAAGCCTGACTCAAAGTCAGGATTTTTCGCCAATATTGTGCAAAAATTTCGTATGCAATAAATTTTGCTTAATTAAGTAGATTTTAATTTTATATATTTTGCCGAAGTAGATTACCGAAGTTTTTTAGCTATTTTTCGCTATTTTGCCGTTATTTCATTGTTATTTTTTATTAATTATTACCATTGTTTAATTTCTTGTAAATATTCTGTAAATGACGTAATTGAATTTTTGGTATATATGAACTCATTAAACATTTATCTAATCTGCTCATTAACATATAATATTTTGAAATCATCCAATTGTACAATTTTGGATTTATTAATTTTATAGGCATATTAATACTAATATGACTAATTATATGGCTATGAAGCACTTATGGTGTATTTACGTATTTTTGAATTTCCCGGCTGTATCAGTCCAGGTCTAGGTTGGTCCACCTCGCCTTTGATCCTAGCCAACCCAGTGTTTGGCAAGTAACGAAATATGTATCAATTCTTGTGGTGGGCGACGGAGAACGTGTCCTAATCTGCGAAGATCACGTGAGATTTTATCCCGTAAAATATAATTTAGATATGAGTGGTCAGTGTTAAGTAACTTCATAGGTAAGTATCAACAGTGCTGGGATTTTTTTCATTTTTAATCCTTGTTCTTTATTTTTACTCCTTTTGCTTCAAAATTTACAAGTTAATTAATTTTGATATTAGAATTAAGGCACATAACAGTTCAATACGGAATGGTTCAATTACTACCCATTCGACTATACATTCTCTTATAGCATAAATTTTATAATACTTTAAAAAATAAACAATAAATTGAATAAATAAATATTACAATGAATATATAGCAGATAAAATACCTTTCTAAAACAAGTTGTATACTTGAAAAATATATTTGTAAAAATATATCGAAAATTATAAAAATACGTCTACCTTTTATAAAAATTTTTCAAATTCAAAGTTCAAAATTCAAAATTTTTCAAAATTAAATTAATTTTGGCTCATTTTTCAAAGAATTTTCTTCTACAAATTTTTAAAAATTATTAATTAAAGTTGTTTCTAATTTAATTAATTTCAATTTTAATTAATCAATATTTAAAAGAAATTTAAGCATAAATCAATTTTTACTTCGAAAGTGCCTTTAATGTTGTTATAATCTTGAATATTTACATCAATTACAATTTCACGCTTCTTCGATATTTTCAAAAATTTTTTAGGTAAGCTGATTTTGGGCCACTTTTATAGGATTTTTTTCCAAATTCTTACAAATTTTTTTAAAATTCATTAATTCTTTGGCAACTTTTTTTAAACATAGTTTAATACTTATCTTTCCTTAAGATTTTTTGCAATTTTTTAAAAATAAATATTTAAAAATATTTAAAATTTAAATATGTAAAAATATTTAAATATTTAAAATTTTACTTATTCTTCGGGATAAAAATTTTTCTGAAATATTTTTTTTTCACTTTTACTAATTTTTCTACGATTTTTCTTGAGATTTTTAGAATAGTTCAATTTTTTCGGTATTTTTTATAATATTTTAAAAATCTTTTTCTACTTTCGAAGTATTTTTATTACCGCAATTTTCTCATGCAAAAAGACTCAAAATCGTTTAAAAAATTCATTCAAAATCGTTTAAAAGTTTCACATAAAAAAAAATTAAATGATAAAAAATTGAATATGGAAATTTGGCACAAATTAATTGCCACCACGAAGACGAAGAACAAGATGAAGCGTCGATTCCTTCTGAATATTATAGTCAGAAAGTGTGCGCCCATCTTCAAGTTGCTTTCCCGCAAAGATCAGACGCTGCTGATCGGGTGGGATGCCTTCCTTGTCCTGGATCTTGGCTTTTACACTCTCTATTGTGTCAGAGGCTTCGACTGCTAACGTAATTGTCTTGCCCGTCAGCGTTTTTACGAAAATTTGCATTCCTCCTCGTAATCGAAGCACCAAGAAAAGTACTGACTCCTTCTGTATATTGTAATCGGATAATGTTCGCCCATCTTCAAGCTGTTTACCTGTAATCAACCAAAATGATAAATTTTTGATAAAATGATAAAAATTCTTAACAACAAATTCGATAACGACCAGTACATATTACTTTTATTTTATGTCTTTATTTCATTAAAAAAAAACGCATAATTTAACCAACAATTAAAGAGAAAGGAATAACGACGAAACGTAGACTGCT